CGCCGACCTGATCAGGCAAGCCAGCGAGTGGAGCGTCAAGCCATCACTGGTGTATGCCATCCGAGGGCATGCTGGCACTGAGGAGCACCTGGACTTAGTCACGAGGATGATCGACAGCAGTGCAATGCCAGGTTCTGAACGAGGTTTAGTTCCAGCACCGCACAGCAATGAACATGGCGTGCTAACGACGCTTGCTGCGAGCGGCTTTGCCGCATGTTCACCCGATGGCTCGTGGTCTCTAACAAAAGAGGCCCTGCATAGGATAGAAGTGCACAGAGAGCTCCATGCATCCCACCCTATCTTCCAGAAGCGCGGCGGCATACCTGTCCAAGATTTGACATGTTATGAACTCATGCTGAGCCTTCAAAACGCTGGGTGGGTCCACGCCAATCATCCGAAGCCGCAGACTTTGCTCCATTTGCCGGGTCAAGCATGCAGGACATTCTACGCGCCCTTCAAGTCGGCGCAGTACGCGCGCCCATACATGTTGACGCTTGCAGTGGAACATCGGGTCTTTGAGCGTGGATATACGGAGATCAAGCACTGCCAAGGACCATCTTACTACAACGAGATGCTGCACAATGTCGACCCAGCGCTGGCGCCTAAGCCTATGCCTAGACCGCGGGCTGCGCTTCCGCTCTGTGACGAAGACGTGGAGTTATCTTTGGAAGACGGCATTGAGCGAGAAATTCTGGACGCACTACGTGATGGGCTCGAAATCCAGCACGAGGGGCTGCCACCAGCCCCGCCAGTTCCGCTCCCGGGGCCACCAGTTGGCCCCCATGGGCCTCCAGGCCCTGGCGGAGGTGGAGGTGCTATGGGGCCAGCCCTCGCACCTCATGCTCCGCCAAGTGTACAGCGCTGGGGCTGCTTCACGATTCACCCTATTAAGGTGAGTCAAAGCAAACCTTTTGGTGGATGGAGAGCAAGCTGCCCCTTTCACCGCTCCTCTGACGTCACTGGCTGCACGAGGTCCATGACCCTGACCTCGGCCTCCCCTGGGGACGAGGACGCCGTGATGAGGTCCTTGAAGGATTGGTGCAACAAGGCTAAGAATTACAATCGTAAGTGGCTTCATAGCGCATATATTGTACCTGTGCCACCACCCAACGAGGCCTTCCTCGCGGAGAATAAGATCACAGATGGCCCCATTGGACCTGTCCGTACAGATGCTGAGCTCGACGACATCGAGTGCGCCACAGGGGGCGAAGCGACGAGGATGGGGGAGGAGGAGTAGGATCAGGAAGAGGAGGGGGAGGAGGGAGAGGAGCAGGAAGAGGAGGGGGAGGAGGGAGATGCTCATTAACCTCCCCCTATATGAGGTATGCCGCCCACCCTCTCGCTGGGCCAGCAGCTGGGCCGGCCGCCCCAGCCCCTCCGGCCCCGGCCGCCCCTGCTGCGGCAGGGCGAGGGCGGGGGAAGGCCTGGGCCCGGGGAAGGGGCAGGGCACGCGGCCGAGCTGCTGCCCGCGGAAGCAGCTCGTCGGACTAACCCGCCCTACAAACAAAAAAAACACAAACGACCAACGATGCACCAACAAACGCACCTTAAATCAACCCAAACCAAAGACACAGCACTCGAACACCGTGAACACCAATCAATACCAAGGCAAATCAACAAAACAAACATGAACACCATCAACAACACTCAAGAACTATCGAAAACCATAACAAACCAACAAAAACCATCAACAACCATCAAACACGACATAAAACCATTGTAAACCATCAAAAACCATCAAAACACATCAAATTCATTAGAAAACCATCACAACGCATCAAGAACCATCAAAAACGCATCAAAACCGTCAAAACGTCACAAATCACATAAAAACGTCAAAAACAGGTTCCGGGCAGTTCCGGGCAGTTCCGGGCAGTTCCGGGCAGTTCCGGGCAGTTCCGGGCAAACGCCACAAATCGTCAAAAAACATGCACAAACCATCGCAAAACCGATGACATCCTATGCGTTTGGTAGCCTTCTGATGGCTGTTTGGTTGAATGTTAATATTTGTGATGGTTTTGGTTAGTCTATGATGGTTCGTACTGTTTTTGAATGGTTTTGATGTTGTTTGAGCGTTTTTTGATAGATTCGGGTGTTTTTTAATGGTTTTGATGGTTTTGGTTAGCTTTTGATTGTTTCTGTTTGTGTTTGAATGATTTGGATGTTTGGTTATAGTTTTTGATGGCTTCGATTGTTTTTAAAGGGATTTGTTGGTTGTGGGTCGCTGTTGATGGTTTCTGGTTGTGTTTGAGTGGTGTTGATGGTGGTGTTTGATGTATTTCTATGAATTCAATGATGTTGTGGTGTTTCTACATGTGTTTAACGTTAGTAGCGGTGTTGGAATGTTCGTTGGCATCCATCTAATAATTTCTGAACAAGTCTACATTGGTGCTGATGGTTGCTCAACGCTTTCAAATACCACTGACAATAATATTGTGCGTTGTGATTAGCTATTGCAAGTCCCCTCGCCTCCTCAGCCTCGTCCATAGCCATTTGGGCTCCAGTGCACATGTCACGTATTTCTGACATGGAGCTGGAACTTGAATGCGGTGCGTCCCCTGGTTCCATTGTGCTGGGCGTGGGGGCAGCAGCGTCAGTTGGATCTCTGCGGAGCCGCGGAGCTCCGCGCGCACTTGTGGGTGGTCTTTCAAACATGCGGGACCTGTTCGACTGGCCTAGCTGGTGCATCAAAGCATTGAGAGACAACGCCCTTGGCATTGACTTAGGCGATGCGTTCAAGGCTAGTTTGGAAAGAGGAATATCCCTCACCACATGCTTCTCAGGGATGGGCTGCGTCGAGATGGCCTGCTCGTTCATCCAAGAGGCCGCCAGGGGTCTGGGAATCTGCTCGGAGGAAGCGAGCCCCTTTACCTTCGAGTCAGCAACAGACATGGACACAGTGTGCCAAACCGTTCTCAAGAGCCACGCCAATGCCCCAGGCTGCATCTTCAAAGACATACTGCACAGGTACCCTACAGACATCTCCCTGGAACTCAAACAATTGAGCAAGAGAGCAAGTGGGAAATATGATGATATCATGGCAGACGTCAGTACAAATGATTTAGAAAAGAAGGCCTTCGGAAATGCTGTTGCTGCGCAATTCAAATCCCAATGTGCTGAGACCCTTCACAGATATTTTAGGACGTGCCCACGTCCCGAACATCAAGCAGCGCCGTGCGCGCGACATCCTGCCTTCCGGAGTCGCTGCATGCCCCGGCTCCGCGGGCGAGGCGCGAGTGAGAAGCTGCGTCTACACGTAGCTGGCACGCCTTGCATCGACTGGAGCGCAATGGGTCAACTGTTGGGTTTCAATGGGCCAACGGCCGTGATATTCGAGTGCTGGGTGCACGAACGGCTCTTTGAGGAAGAAGACGTGATCATACATGAGTGTACGCGCAACTTCCCAGTCAGTTGTTTGAGTGAGAGGCTCGGAGAGAAGTACGTCATTCTCAGCCTTCTCATCACGCCGCAAGAATTTGGATGGCCATGCTCAAGGCCCCGGAGATGGACTATCATGGTGAAGAAGTCTGCCTACAAGGTGAATGTCCCCTACACTTTGGATAGTCATGGCATTGCTGGGCTATTTGGGAGAGCGGTGGAGCTGGACGGGAACGCGTTCTTCTGCGCTGGGCGCGAGGACCAACAGGAGGTCTTCAGGGCGATGGCGAAGAAGCGGAAGTTCTCGGAGGAAAGCACTTGGGATTGCGACGACGTGTTAGACGTAGGTAGTTGGGCGCGGCTACAGGGGCACATACGCGTTGCCAACGAGATGGGGAAGACTGACCGCGACGTAGTCATTGTGGACTTGAAAGACAACGCTGAGCACATTACGAGATGCATCAGCATAGTACCGACTCTCCTTCGAAAATCTTTAGTGTATTCTCTATCTCTGAAGCGAGTCATGATTCCGCTGGAGCACCTTCTAGTGCAAGGTATTCCTGTGATTGGTGATGATTTTCCGCACCGCTGCCCTTTCATTGATCTTATCAGAGCAAAGGCTCTGTCGCATGATGATGTCAAGTCACTGGCCGGAAATTGCATGCACATCGGCGTTGTGGGCTCCTTGGTCTTATACGTTCTTGCGTGCTTGGAGCCGGCCCGCGGGGGCACGTGCTGATTGATGCGTTTCGTCACTTGCCAGGCAACGCGGTTGCCAGGCCCAGGCGATGCGGTCGCCAGGTCATGATGATCTCATGCTTTACTCAGGCGCGTTGTTACTTCAGATCAAAAACTTCAGGCGTCTGACCCTCGCGCCGAAGTCGCAGATAGCAGCGGCTGCTATCTGCGACCCCGGCGCGCAGGATTGCTGCAATCCCCCACGGGCCGAAATTGCTACAATCCCCTGGGGCCGAGGTTGCTGCAATCCCCCGCGGGCCGACATTGCTACAATCCCCTGGGGCCGAGGTTGCTGCTTTATTCCGCGGGCCGACTTTGCTACAATCCCCCGCGGGCCGAATTTGCTACAATCCCCTGGGGCCGAAATTGCTACGATCCCCCGCGGGCCTAAATTGCTACAATCCCCCGCGGGCCGAAATTGCTACAATCCCCTGCGGGCTGAAATTGCTACAACCCCCCGCGGGCCGAAATTGCTACAATCCCCTGGGGCCGAGGTTGCTGGCTTCTTCCGCGGGCCGAACTTGCTACGCCCCAACATGATTCAAACGCAATAGAAACATGTTAGCGCCTCGGCCTGTTCAGCGACAGGGGTGGCACTACATATGAGGAATGAAACGCGTCTCAAATGCAACCTCCTTGTTGCACCATGCCGAGCACGCCAAGCCCCAGGGCCCCTTGCCAAAGCAGGGAACAGCAAATGCAACAAGGAGGTAGCATTTGAGTCGCAAAGTATTCCTCATCTGTAGTGCCACCCGTGTGCTGCTGTCGCCTACCCTCTACTCTTCCGTAGCTGTTCTGGCTGAAGGGTCAAGCCTCGTGGACCTGCAACGTTACTTACCTGACATTCAGTTCTCCACTCTGTAAGTGGTCAACTTGGTTGCGCGATGTCCAGCCCCAGTGACCTCGAGTTGGAGTTCGAGTCGCTGCCGTCGGAGGCTACGCCGGCGGCGGCGGCGGACATCGACGACATCTTCGATGCGACTTCACGCTCGGGGAAAAGTGCGTCACAGTCGCCATCGCCGACCCCGGCAGCGGCCGCGGCTGCTGCGGCTGCGCCGCCGCCGCCTAAGGCTGACGGCGACAAGAAGTCCACGCTGAGGTTCTGCATCGTTGACAAAAAACCCTTCGACAGCAAGCGCAAGGTGGACATGTGCCCCTGCCACGCGAGGGACTGGGAGGCCCTCCTCACCCAGGTGGAGGACAAGAAGGAGAAGAAATACGTGATGGCCCTGAAGAAGAAGGCCGCTACAGGCGACAACACGGAGCTCATGACCCTCGTTGCCAAGTTCCAGGCAGACGCGCCCTCTTTGGGGCGGGGGCGCGCTCGCGCCCAATTCGACTTCGCTTCGTTCTTCAAGGGCGCCTACGCAGCCACCGAGGCCGTGGACGACGTGGAGAGCGAGATGATGACGTTCCTAGTGTTTGAAGAGCACAGCCGGACAGCGCGAGGCGGCAAGTTGACAGACCCCAAGATCGCGTCCGAGTGGGCCAAACTGACAAAGGCAGCCTGCGAGGACAAGCTACCAGGCGCCAAGTTCGACAACGATGGCCCCGAGGGGGCCCTTCGGATCAAGGTGAAAGTGAAGGACACCGTTCACGACCTGAGCAAGATAGGCGAGCAGGTGACGGTGCGGGAGCGCGAGATTGAACAGAAGAGGCCTTCGAAAAGAATAGTGGACGGCATGAAGCGCTCTTTGACAAACTCGCACTCGTCCTTCGACGAACTGAGGAGTCTCGTAGACGAGGAACTTGTGGCAGACCACAAGAAAGAAGGGGCGTCAAACCAATCTTCGAGCGCACCGCCAGCCCTGGGCATCTTCTCGGCGAGGCCGTCTGCGGGGTCGTCGGTCACAGATATCATTGCCAGCATTCGCCAGGATGCGTCATCGGGCGCTGATCGCATGTCTGATGTTGCGTCCTCAGCGGGTTCCAGCGGCGGCGGCGACGGCGGCGACTACCGCCCCACGGCCGCTGGCGGTCACAAGAAGCAGAAGAAGTTCGACCGCGACACGCAGATCCTCAACACAGAAGGCAAGCTCCTGAACTACGTCGAGAAAGTGCGGAGGCTAGCGGATGCGACGCTGGACGAGTTGGTGGCCTGCGAGACGAGCATCAAGCAGACAGCCATTCAGAACGACTTGGACTACTACAAGAAACACTTGGACATCTTGCAAGTGCGCAAGGAGGCCCTGGTCGCCTTCCTGCACAGCAAGGCGAGCATGGCCGTAATGCAGGATTTTGGGTGACCCAAAAGGGATTCCAGCTGCAAGGGGGTGGTGCGATAGATTTTGGGCAATTGTATTGCAAATGTATTGCGCTGGAGAATTGTATTGCATTGTATTGCAACGAATGTACTGCACGCGAAAATCCAGCAATACATTTGCGCCCTGGAGTGTATTGCACGCCCCGAATGCATTGCGACCCCACACATGCATTGCACCAAATCTATTGCACCACCCCCTTGTCGCTGGACCCCCGTTTAGGTTAGCCAGAAGGATGCGGTGAAGACGGGGCAGAGGAAGTCGCCATGCCCGGACTTCGCCACCATCATGTCCCTCGAGCAGTTCAAGGACATGCAGCACGTGATCTCCGCATCGACTACCGCCGAGGAGTTGAAGACCGCCGAGAACCAGTGCAAAGCGGAGATGGCCAAGATGAACCAACTCATCAGCGCGAACAAGGCAATCGTCAAGGAGTCCAACTCCTTGCTCAAATCCCGCTCTAGGCAGCTTCAGACGATCGAGGAGGATAAGGCTCAGAGGGAGAAGAGGAGGGCCCAGGCATGCGCGGGTGTCGCCGCCAATATGCCACCGCCAGCGGCCAAGAAGCCCAAGCTGGACGCTACGCGCGACCTCTTGAACTTCGAGTACCAGGAGAGCCGGCAGACGTTGGCCATCAACTTCAGCGCGCTGAGCGCTAACTCTCCGGACTTGCTGGAGCCTTTCGTGGTGACAGGCTGCCCGGTGGATGTCGCAGTGAAAGAGGAGATGCTGAAGGCGTTCCAGCAGAAGTTCACCAACTGTCCACAGCGGACCAGTTCGGGGCGCGCAACTGCGCCGATGAAAGACCCTACAGATCAGCAGCGTGCAGTGACAGCCTTGCTTGGGTGCTTCCCCTATGACCTCTTGAAGAACATGCACAGCTCGGACGCCTTCAAAGCAGATCATCCCGAAATACTCAAGCTCCTCGAGCCGGCCTTGTCAGCGATGGCTGCCGACTCCCAGTGCGGCGGCGTCGAGAATTTCTTCATGTCGAAAATGCGCTTGACTCTGCAGGGCACCGTGAACGTGGTGATGCTGCGTGCTGACAACTACACGGCGTGGTGTGGCAAGCGCGTTGAGGCCGCGAACTCCAAGGGCGTGAACATCGAGACTGCGTTCAAGAAGATGGCTGCCATGACGACCGCCGAGGTTGCTGACTTTATCAAGGACCACCCGGGATCCATCAAGCAGGCAACGATCGGGAAGGGGGACTGCGTGTATGTGCCCATCGGATGGATTCTGATGGAGCACGCGAAGCCTGGGATCGACATGACGTGTGTGAACATGTCAGTGCTCCACTTCCTCCAGGGCGATGGCCTCAGTTTCGCCACCAAGGCCATGGAGCTGCTGATCTCGAGCATGGAGGGCATGTCCAAAAACGTTGATTTGGTGAAGGAGGTTTACGAATTCATCAAACAGAATCCCGAGCCAACAGCCGAGATGAAGGATGAGCCCAAGCCGTAGCCTTAGCAGGGAACGGCCGATAAGAAGGCTGATCCCAAGCGTCAGCCTGCCTGAATGAGCCGTCACTGCATATGGCTAGTGCGATGCCAGGCAGGTCCAAGGCAACAGTGGGTTCGGGGGTTCGGGGGAAAGATAGAACAATATTGAAAACAGAGGGCTTGTTGCCATAGCTGAGAGTTTTGAAGAGACCATACAGAAGCTGGACTTCAGGTGAATGTTCCGGCGTCTTGTCCAGAATGCGTGCGTGGGCTGAGCATGCGTTTCGGCGTTTCTCCACTTAGTTCACAGTGATGGATGTTGCTCTGTGGTGCAGTATTGGGTTGCCAAGGCTTTGAATCAATTGAGTTCCCCCTTTTACCTCCACCATCGGAGGGCCTCCGACGACGGCGACGTCGACGTTGACGATCCTCGTTGCCCTCTGCCTCCTCCCGCCCTCCCGCAGGGTCCCAGCGTGAAACCACTAGGGGGGGCAGGCGTGAAACCGCTAGGGGGGACAGGCGTGAAACCACTAGGGGGGACAGGCGTGAAACCACTAGGGGGGGCAGGCGTGGCACCACTAGGGGGGACAGGCGTGAAACCACTAGGGGGGCGACGACGACAACGACGGTGGCGACGGCGACAACGCGGCCCGGCCGGCCCCGGACCCGCCCCGGCACTGCCGCGGCGACGCCTCCTGAGGGCGGACCTGGCGCAGGCGCCCTGGGGGCGACGACGACGACGCGGCCCGGCCGTTGTTGTCGAGGTCGTGGTCATCAGAGGAGGCCCTCCGACCCTCCGAGGGCGGAGGTGAGAGGAGGACCTGCGCTGACCTACTCGTAGATGTCAAGATAAGAGGTAAGAGGGAGGAGGAGGCCCCCTGAGGGCTTAGCGGAACCCTCTCTCCCTCCACTTCCCCCCGCTTGCTTGCCCAACCCACTCCTGGCCGAGAGAAGTTCACAGGTGCAGGGCCGCAGGGCCAGATTTTGATTTTTCGCATTGGGATTGTCGACTGACCTGCTGCACTCACTGTTTTCGCGCATCCCCAGTTGCCCCCGCGCGATGCTGCCCCGTAGCCGCCTATGCGGCCCTCTGGCCCTGCATCTGTGAAATCCCCTAAGCTCCCCTGTGACACCCCAGTCGGCGGATAGAAAATAATCCAGCGCATTGGGACGTCGAATATGGCGCGAGCGCGCCGAGCCCGTCCGTTTTCCTTCTCCCGTCTTCCTCCTTCCGTCTTCTCGCCCCCCTCGGCCGCACGGCCGCATCGCCTGGCGTTTCGTCATCATCATCGCCGTCATGTTGCTTTTCCTGCCCTACTCATCCCGCTGTTGCTGCTCCTCCTTGCATTCCTCCCTTGTCCTCCACGACTTGGTGGCCTTTTGTGCCTCCGGAGCCCCGTGGGTCTCTTGCATCGATGTTTTCTCGCTGCTATTCCGCTCGGCTTTGAGTGCCTGAGGTGAAGCAGAGCCCGCTGTGAGTGAGTGTTTTTTAAGCTGGTGTGTTCATGGGGAGCGGCCCCCCCCTCGGCTGCTGTTCACTCGATGAGAACTTTTGTGGAGAGCCGACTGAACCGAACCTCCACGCCCGGGTTCCTCCTCCTCCTCCTCCTCCTCCTCCTCCTCCTCCTCCTCCTCCTCCTCCTCCTCCTCCTCCTCCCTCCTTCTACTCAGCCCGCCTGGTGCGCGCGCCAGGATCTTTTCGACAAGTTCATGTGCTATTGCAAGGTGCCCCGGCGCGCCCGGGAGGTTTTGGGTCCGCCCGGCAATGCTCCTGGGCCAACGAGCGGGGGGTCGCCCGAGGATGAGGAGGACGAGGAGGAGGAGGAGGAGGCCGGGAAAAAACAGCAACAGGTCATCGAACGCGTCGACACGGAGGATCAGGAAACGGGGTGTGGCCTGGATCGCTCTGCTCTCCGCCTGTTCCCAGGGCTTCGCCCTCTCCCGGCCGCGTGAGGCCCCGCCTTCTTCCGCCCTTTCTCTGCTAATTCAGCTGTGCGCGTCCCGCTTAGCTTTCAGCGGAAGAGGTTCGCTCTCGCCCCGCAGATAAAAAACAAAAGCACAGGGACCACTTCGATCCGTTCGATCCGATTCGATGTCGATTCTGGCTGGCTCGATTCGATTCGATTCGATAAGTATTCCGACGATCCGATGCGGCCTTGTGCATGCATGGCGCTGCTGTGCATCCTGGCGCAGCCGATTCGATTCGTTTCGATTCCTTGCAAACGCAGCCCGATCCGACGCCCGTTCCGGCCCGATCCGATTGCGAAGGCCTTACGGCCGATGCCGCCGACGATGACGATGACCGTCGACGATGACGACGACGACGACGGCGACGGCGACGACGATCGCGAGTCCTTGTTGGGGCCTTCCCGGGCCCTCTTGGGCTGTCCTGGGGGGGGCCTTTGGGCCGTCTTGGGGCCTTCCCGGGCCATCCTGGCGTGTACTTGGGCCGTTCTGGGGAGCTCTCGGAGGCAACTGGGGCCGACGTGGAGTGTACGAAGCCTGGAAGTCGAGCAGGCGAAAAAACATGGGCGATTTCGGGACCTCCTGGTAGCCTCTTGGAGTGGGGAGCTTGAAGTGTGGGTTGGTTTTCCTCCTCTTCGGCCTCTCTTGGGGTGTTCCTGGGGCTCTCTTGGGCGTTCTCGGTCGGAGAAGGGGGGAGGGCGGGGGGGTCACGATTCGCAGGACGCTTCCAGGGACCCCGCGGGATCTTCTCCTCCCTCTCACCCTCCCCCGGGACCTCCCCTCTCTCGTGGGGAAGGGATTACAGGAACGGGGTCCCCTTCGAGTCCCCTTCGAGTCGATTACGCTGTTGCTCGATTCTCCTCTGGCTGGAGCGTTTGAAGAGGTGTGCCGAGGGAAGAGGGGGGGTGGTTCTGGGAGGCTCATGCAGGTTTCAGGGTGGTGCGGGGGAAAACACGACGAAGAGCGAGGGGGAAACAGAGAAGGAGGAGGAGGAGGAAGAGGAGGAGGAGGAGGAGGAGGAGGAGGAGGAGGAGGAGGAGGAGGAGGAGGAGGAGGAGGAGGCAGAGGAGGAAGAGGAGGAGGATCGAGGATCGGGGTTCGAGTCGATATTTTATTTTTCATGGTCTTTTTCGGGGGGGGCTCTCTGGAAGCCTCCGAGTATTTCTGGGGACGTCCTGGAGGCGTCTTGGGCCGTCTTGGGGTCCTCTTGGGCCGTTAGGGGACGCTTTTGGGCGCCTCTTGGGGTGTCTCGGGGCGATATTGGGGGCCTCCTGGGCCGTCTTGGCGCGTTGGCAAACGTCAGGCCCGATCCGATTTCCCGATCTGATGCTGACTGATCTTGCCGGCTGTTTCAAGACGCTGGCCTCGGTGGCGTGCCGGCAAGGGAAGGAGAAATGTCCCTGCGTTCTCTCGCTCGGCGTCTCTGTCTCTGTGCTCGCGGAGCGAAAAAGCAAAACCAGGCTGGAAGCCTCGAGAAACTTCACAGAACCGAGACCATCGAAACCTTCCGAAACCAATCCGGAAAACCTTGCGAAGCTAAAGGAGCAAAGTATGTGGAACGCATCAAGTTCTATCCTTCCTTCCACCTCCTCCTTCCTTCCATTTCCTCCACCTCCTTCGTGCCTTCCTTCTCCGCCTCCACCTCCACTCACCTCCTTCCTTTCTTCCCTCGATCCCTCTACTCTTCCCTCCACCGTCCACCTCCGTCCGCTTCTCGATCCTCCCTGCGCACCCCTCCCCTCCCAGCGGAGGCACGCGCGCGCGACCGCGGCATGCCATGGGGACCCAGTACGGACGGGTGCCTCGGGCTCCTCCGGCTCGGGGCTGTCCGGCTGCGACGGCCCAGCGCCTGGCTCGTCTGACACGTATGTGTTGGCGTTTGCAGGCCGTTCTTCAGAGTGTACCGTGTCTTGCCCGTCGCCGTCGTCGTCGTCGTCGTCGTCGTCGTCGTCGTCGTCGTCGTCGTCGTCGTCAGCGTCGTCAGCGTCGTCAGCGTCGTCGTCGCTCTGCCTCCTCCTCCGCGTGCTTCCCCGCTCACCACTCACGCAGGGATCGAAAGTGTACCGTCGTTCTGGACGTATATCGGCGCCTCGCCTCGCCCCCGCTCTCTGACTGGATGAGGAGAGGCCGTCCTTCGGCCGAAGCCAATGCGACCGCCGAGCCGTGGCAGGCGCAGTTCGGACGAAGAGACGGCGGCTCGGCCGAGGGCAGATAAAGTGAAGCTCGGTCTGGCCAGGGGCGTGCAAGTTGCAAGCGGGTGTGGCCTCGAGTTTGCGATCACCTGGGCGATCAAAACGGCCAGACGGCCCTGAGACCCAACGTCGCGGAAGAAATGCAGCATCGTGGAAGAATCACGTCCAGAGCCTTCCACCCCATCTTTCTGCGGCATCTCTCAAGCCAGATCGATCTGTGAGGGTCCCCGGGCCTGCAGTTGGGCGAAAGCGCCCGTTGCGAACAAACATGCGACGGTCGGATGTCAGAGTCCCTTGGTCCTCCGCCCCCGAGACTGGCACCGGCGACCTCACGGGCAGCATCTCCGCGGCGGAGACCAAGATCAGCACTCTGACGGCCCCGCGCGCGTCGGCATGGGTTTGCCGGGCCCCTGATTCCCCGCACTTCTCTTCCGGACGGGCTAGGGTGGGACGCTCTGGGGATCTCCTGTGGTGTCACTGCGGGAGGTCAGACTGGCAACTAGGACAGACCGGAAGCGAGCCATGGTGACAGTCATCTCGAATACGTTCGATTCGTGTCGTGCCGTGTCGACGCGGCGGCGACCCTAGCGAGGCGACGTGTCCTTGTCGTCACGACGCGAAGCAGCCGCTGCCCTTCCAGCGGGTTCCAGTTGGCGGGGTAGGTCGAGTTTGACTTTTCAGGGTTTCCTGTGAGCTGGGCAAATGGCTTGGCGGGCTGCTTGGGGGAAGGGTGGAGGGCCATCAGCACATGCAGCAGCGGGATCACGAGGAGCAGGAGCCGCAGCCACGTACCCCGCTGACCGGAGCCCCGAACAAGCCATATTCAAAGGTGGCTCCTCCTGCTTCTTCTCTGCCCTCTCCTATTCTCCCTCCCATCTTCTCCTTCCCCCCCTTTCCTTCATTTACTCCGCTTGCTGGAGCCACCCCGGAACACTTTCAGCGAGGCCCTGCTGCTGGAGAGCACAATTAGACTGGAAAAGCCTTGGGGAACCTATGATAACGTCCGAAAACAACAAACACTTACCAAAAACGGCGCGACGGGGTATCTGCGAGGAAAAGACGATGCACAATTGGCTCCAGCAGCAAGGTCAAGTGACAAAAGCGTCGTGCGCCGTGCCAGCGTGAGCTACCCAGCGCTGGGGGCCATCGGGTGAGGACGAAGTGTTCCTTGCAACACCACGGCGCTGGCAACGGAGAGGCCCGTGGTATGACCAGAAAGCTAGACTTCCCCTCGGAACTACAAAATCGGCCTGGGGGTCCCTGCTGGGCCCCAGGGCAGTCGAAAACTTGCTCTGGATTGGATGAGAAGCTGGTCCCAGGAAGGAGTCCAAACCTCTGGGGGTCCACGTTACGAAAAAGTAACGACGTCGGAAATCCGGGCTTCCTGCTCCTCCCTCCAATCGACCCCCGGAATTTCCAGTCGGATGCAGTCGTGGCGACGAGATAGCCCCCGAAGGTCCAGAGGAAAAGGAGCAGAATAAGGAAGAGGACTCCCTCCCTTTCCTCCCTCCCCCTCCTCTCCCCGCGACCCCTCCGATCGTCGCCATCGCGCTCAACCTCTCTGGCCGTGCAGAGGCCGACACCGCGAGCGCGAGCAGCGCGAAGGACTCGACGGAGTCCGTGCTGGCGCAGTCGAGGACTGTACCTGGCCTCGCCCCGCCTTGGGTGCCAGGAGGGATGTCGAAGAAGAACGCGCGGCATGAACATCCTGGCCGCGCCCGCGCTAGGGAGACGGGCTCAGCGCCGATCCCAGAATTCAGTGCGGACCTCCAAGCATTTTTTTCATCGCTTCGCTCATTCTGCCGGCCCATTTTTGCGCACCGCTGTGTCGGCTGGCTGATTGGTCGTTGGCAGTGCGGAGCTGCAGGGTCGGCGTGTGTGCCTGTGAGACATTGCTTTTGGCATGTCTGGGGTTGAAGCAGCCCCCGTGGAGCAGCCGCGTGGCGGTCGTGTGGACATTGGAGAACATGTCGGAGGTTCGTTGGTTTCTTACGTGGTTTCTGGGTGTTTGCCGCCCTGTGGGGCTTTGGTGTTTCGTGGGAGCTTGTTGCCTGCGGAAGCTCGCTTGGGGGCCGTTCGAGTGAGAGGATGAGAGATTTGGTGCGATGATGGAACCCTCGTGTCGGAGGGTGGGGTCTCCTCGGAGCGCTGTCGTGAGCTTCCGCGGGGCAGTGCACAGGAAGCTCTTGGGAGTTCTCCGCGTTTTTCGGGGACATCTTAACCTGAAGCCTTTTTGGGGCTCTTTGGGGCCTCTGGGCGGCCTCCTGGCCGCCTGTTGGGGGCCACTTGGGGCCTCGGACCTCGGGGGATCTCCAGGGGGCTCCTTATCCCTCTTGGGCCGTCTTGGGGCTGTCTTGGGGCCCTCTTGGACCTTCTTGGGACGATCTTGGGGACCTCTTGGGCCGTCTTGAGGCGTCGGGAACCGTCCAACGTCTGTCCAAAACCTTTGGACAATCACTGAAGTTTACCCCCTGGAGCCCTGTTGGGAGTGCTTCAAGGTTGGACGATCCACGCGGTGTCAGAAACCAGCGCTTGTGTCGCCGCGACAAGAACCTGCCTTACACCAAGTGACCGCCCCCCTCTTGCGGCCGAAGTCCCACCGCAGCCGTTTCGGCCCATGCCGCCCTGGATCCACAGACACCCGCCTCTTGATTTTTGGCAGTACGAGATCCCCGGCAGTCCCGACCTTGTTCCCGGAGCCCGTTGCTTATCTCGGACCGTTTTTGGATTGCTGAGGGGCCCGCAGCTGCCCCCCCACCGGCCGAACGTGATGAAAACATGTTTTTTGCATTGTTTTCGTTTTTGTGGCTCAAGATGTAAGATGTCTGGACCCAGGGCCCCCCGACTCCCCCAAGGCGCCAGCTTGCAGCCACCCGCCGCGGAGCTTCGGGGATGGTGCAGGCGGACCCGCTGCGCAGTTTTCGAAGCGACAAGGCTCGGCGGCGCGCCGACGACGACGTCGTCGTCTTGGAGGTTCTTGAGCGCCTCCGTGGCCACGACTGCGCGCAGCTCGAACAACTGGCCAGACTGGACAGGCTCTGAGCGACGCTCGGCCAAGTCTGAGGCGAGGGGTGCGGCCTTCCAAGAAGCCTTTGAGGGGCCTTCTCGGAAGCCTGCGGTCCCCTTGAAGGCCCCCTCGCAGGGCCCGTGTCGGTCCGATTCGACATCGATTCTGGCCAGCTCGATCCGAATCGATTTCGATGTGCCGACGATTCGATGTGGCCCGATGCTTGCAAGGGCGCCGTTGTGCATCCTGGCGCGGCCAGGCCGAGTCGATTCCGACTCTGTGCCGATGCGTCCCGATCCGACGCACGTTCCGATCCGACCCGATTCGCCGATTAGATGCTGACTGATCGAGGGTTTAGGATCGAGGTTCGAGGAGCAGAAGGCGGAGGTGGAGGAGGAGGAGGAGGAGCCAGAGCGAGGGGGAGGAGGAGGAGGAGGAGGAGGAGGATCGAGGTTCGATGATGAGGATGAGGAGGAGGCGGAGGACCGGTGTAAGCGCAAGACTCATCAGCGATGTTGCAATAAACCTCTTCATGGGGGTCCGTTGGAAGATATCCGCTTCAAGATCTGCAACAATTCCGAAGCACCATTTGTGGGACTTCGCGCCAGAACACCATTCCTGTGATTTTAACACCGCAAATCAACGTGACTGTCGCGCCCTGACAATCTTAAGTCATGCCAAAGCACCGTTTCTGGGACGTCAGCGATAATCATCCTTGGAACTGATGTTAACTGTTACGACGAGGGTGCGCGGGGCGAATGCGAGAGCGACATCTTGAAAACGGCCCGCCCTCATTCCGTGAAGGTCTTGAAACCGTTTAAGACGAAAGTGCGCGGCGCGAAGGCGAGACCCATACGTTGAGAATGGCCCGCCCTCCATCCGTGAAACGCTTGCGAACATTTAAGCCGAGTGCGCGCGGCGCCGAGGCGAGAGCCACATTTTGATATCGACCCGCCCTCCATCTGTGAAGCTCCTGCGAATTTTTAAGAAGAACGTGCGCGGCGCCAAGGCGAGAGCCATATTTTGAAAACGACCCCCCCTCTATCCATGAAGCTCTTGCGATCTTTGACGACGAATGTGTGCGGCGCTGAGGCGAGAGCCTCCTTTCGAAAATGGCCAGCCCGCCCTGCCGACCCGTCTCGGGGTGCGACAGGAAGGGATCATTTACAAGGAAGAGGGATGGAGGAGCAGGAGGAGGAGGAGGATGAGAAGATGAGGAGGAGAAGGATCGAGGAACAGGAGGAAGAGGAAGAGGAGGATCGAGGGTCGAGGATGAGCGGGGAGCGAGGATCCTGCCCTTGCGAGAGGCGCTGCGGTCCAGCCTGGCCGACTGCGATCGTGACCTGGAGGCCTCCGCGTCTCCTCGATGGGACCAGAGTAGACCTAGACCACTTCGCGGCTTCCTGCTTGGACGTTTTCATGGATTCCCGAACGCTCTTCCAGCCTCTGGAGGCTCTCCAGCGGGTGCGCCTCGCCGAGAGCGTTCCGGGCCCGGATCGTCCCGAACGGCCGCCGGAGGCCTGAGGTATGACCCAAAAGCCAGACCCCGTGGCGTCGTGAAGAAATAGCGACGGAAGGTTTGTGGTTATCTTCGGTATCTGGGGCCCTCACCAGGCTCCAGGGCTGTCAGAAAATGATCCTGGGTGAGAAACCAGTCCCAGGGAAAAGTTCCAGATCTCTGGGGTCTACGTTGTGTACAAAAAACGACGTCGGAGGGCTGAGGATCGCGCCGGATCTTGTCTGAAGCCCGATTTTCTCCATCCCGCCGTCGACGATGCATCGGCGATGCGGCGTGATTCTCCGACCCCATCTACGGTGGCACCATTTGGGAGGAAGCTCGGGTCGGACGAAAGGGGGGATATGGAAAGGGGGGGTGCGAGATCTTCGGACCCGCCGCTGGGCATGGGCGCCTCTGGCGTCGGGAGGCGCTGGGAAAGCCAGTCACGCAAGCTGATTCGCTGACCCCCCCCGTCGAGACATCCGATGTCTCATTTTTCCAGTTCTGGGTCCCCCGAAGTCCCGAGCCTTCCCAGAGGGCCGGCTTTTCGTCCCGAGTCGTTTTCTGACGGCCCTGGAGTCCGAAACTAGCCCCAAGAGGCCGAACACGACGAAACACGTTCCACTTTTGTTTTTCTAGACGTTGGATATTTGGTATCCGGGTTATACTTCGGAAATCTGGTGGCCGATCGGGACTGACCCCCAGAACGCTCTCGACGAGGTGCAGCTGCTGGACAGCAACCCGTGCATGAACCGTCAAACCCCAAGCCCGACAGAAGCCCGCCTTGCGTCCGCCCAGAAAGGCCGGGCTCCCCTGGGGCAGCAACTGCTGGGTCGAGGACCTCGGCCGCCCCCCGTGCGTGGTGGACGCGGTCCCCGCCGCCGAGCCCGCCCCCGGGGTCCGGGAGGCCGTCTGCCTCCAGCCGCAGACGCTGGAGCTGAGGCCAGCGGGCCAGACACGCGAGGTTGCTCGGCATGACTCGTGTAACCCTGAGCTGCAGATATCGTCCCCCCCATCGGGTGAAACTGCGCCGCTTCTCGCCCCCCAGAAGTGGTATCCCGGCCCTGGACCCCGCAGTGCGGGGTCCCACCAAAATTCTCGCAAGATCCCAATCGGAATCCAATGAGAGCCCAGGAGGATCGCAACATGAACCCAGTAAGATCCCAATCGGATTCCAATCGGATTCCGATAGGGTTCAAAGAGGATCCCAATATCATCGGATCCCAGTAGGACTACACCAAGGGGCCGTCTTGTGGCCTCGCTTGGGCTGTCTTGCTCCTCTTACTCCTCCCCCCCAGCGGAACTGTTTCGTTGATAATTTGTCGTGGTTGTTCGGCGGTTCCCCCTCCTCGAATCAATCCGTAAGGGCTTCGCCCCCTTCCGCTGGCCCCCTCTCTCGGAGAATGGGCCATGGAAGAGCGAAGTCATGAGGCTTTGGCTTCACCGTGAAGCAGCGTCGGAACTTCATGCGAAGACGATGGGTAATTGGCTAGACGAATGGAGATTGCGAGTCTATTGTTGTTCTCGCTGTTGTATGAATTTCAGACATGTGGCAAATCCCCTGTGTTTTTGGACCCTGACCCCGCCGATCTGTGTGAGGGGTGCCACCGAATTTTAAACAATGTGGCAAGTCCTTTTTGTTTTTCCCAAACATCCTGTGGTGTTGGGTCCTCGTTTTGAATAGACAGCGCCCCGCGTTCCTCCTCCTCCTCCTCCTCTTCCCCCTCCTCCTGCTACCGTCCGCATGCGTCCCGCACACCCAGTACAGCGTTCCGTGGCCCTCATCCCCCTCGTCCTTGCGTTTCACCCAATCAGTACAGCAGATCCGTAGCCATTTTGGCTCAATATGCTTTGTTCCACAGGGGAACACGTGGATACCGCTAGTCCGCGGCCAGTGCCAGGGCTGTTCAGCCCGACAGTTTTGACGAGAGAATGGGACATGATGACCTTGACGCGGCTCCTTGGCGTGATAACAAGAAGGCTGCAGTTGTCCGACGTAAGCCTGCCCGACCGCCTCCCTCTGGGCCAACGTGGCGCTGCGGACAGTGTGGCTGTGCTCGCAACGAACAGTGGTGTCAGTGGTGCAAGCACTGCTACGCGGCCCGTACTCCAGAGCCAGGTTGGACGAAGTCAGTGCAGTGGGGGCCCTCGTGGGGCGCTCGCACGTGGACCGACTCGGGGGCGCGCCAACCGCTGGCGGCCGGGCTTCAAGGAGGGCCTCGTGATACTCCTCCTGCTTTGGCTTGGACCAGTCTGGATGGCTTGGACGCGGGCGAGCTCATCTCCCTCCTCACGATCGCCTACAAGACAGGTGATACTAACCTCGCCAATCGGGTGCAGGGGCGCATCGCTGCCCTGTCCAAGCCTTCGCCGCCAGTCGTGGAGAAACCCATGGAGCAGCGCTTGGCAGAGTCCCGCAGCGAGCGCGACAAGCTGGCTCAGTGTCTCGCTCGTGAACCCTGCAAGCATGACAAGTGGCAAGAGCAGCTCCGTGAACATGAGTCCCACATCCGCTCGCTGCGCGCGGAGCTGGAGACCATGGACACTCAGCATGCCGAGTTGGCTAGCAAGCTGGCCTCATCTAGGCCTGCGGCAGAGCCTGCTCCCGCCAAAAACAAGCTGCAGGACTTCGTTTCGGGTAAAGTGGACACGTTGGACTTCGACTTGGGCCTCTTGGCCGAGATGCCTGCTGGCCTGGAGCTGGAGGAAGAGGACCGTCGCAAGATCGAGGAGCGTGCCTCACGATTTCGCGCGGCCCTGGCGACCAAGGCGAAGGACCTCTTTGCCGCAGCGATGGAGGAGGCCAAGCGAGGGGTTGATGAGCACGAGTCCCAGAAGTTGCGCCTCATCGCTAAGGAACGACGAGTGGGGGCTGAGGGCGACGAAGCGGCCAGGGTTCAGCCAGGAGCGGCAGAGGCTGCGGAGACCCCCACGGAAAGCGCCGCTTCTGCGTCGAGTGGGGGGAGCCCAGCAGATGTCCCTGCAGCCAAGGAGCCCCCCCCGCCCCTTACTCAGCAGCAGCAGTTCGACTCCGTCAGTGAGCGGCTGGCTAAGTTCGATCGCAGGGGGGGCTCGCCGCCGTCCCCGCCAGCAAACGCATGATGACAAGGGCGTACCGCTTGGGGTGATGCGGTTGATCTCGCGCATTCCGCCCTACCAGTGGTATCCTACAGCAGGCATGTGCTCCCGCAGGTCGAGCTATGTCGGTTGATGAATTCTGCTATGAAGTTGATCGCCTTCTTGAGGAGGTTTGCAGTCAGATGGGATGGGACGTCGCTTAATCGCAGCTGATGACGCGCGCGACCCCATCACGGCTGCCCCGCCAACTTCGAGCACCAGGCTGGCTACCTGCACTGCGTCGGCATCTACGAGCAGTCCAGGCGCGGCCGGCGCCGCTGAGGCTGGGGGACATCGCACCCAGGCAAAGGATTCGCACCTAACGCGGCGCTCCTTGTTTTGACAACCCAGACGCTCAGGAGTGTCCTCCTCCGACTGTCGCAGCCGCAGTTCGAGCTGCTAGATGTGCGGATCCGGACAACTCCGACGTGGGCCCCTTCTACATGTCTGACCAGGAGCTGGGCGAGATTGCGGAAGGTGAACGTGATAATAGTGAGCCTAATATCGGATGCAGGCCTAGCGCCCCGTCGTGCCGCTCTCCTGACAATAGCTCTCGGGGGCCGAACGGTTCCCTGTTTCGACGCCGCAGTCGGACTCCTACTCGACAAGACTGGCCGTCTGGGACGCCAGCTCGAGAGACCCACGCCTTGGAGAGACGAGAGCTGGGCCAGGCTGAAGTGCTGCAATACAGGAAGTCTACTGATCATGTCACGATGCTCTTCGCCAACATCACCCAGTGGGGCGCCAGAGTTCGCAGCTTCATTTACTGCTACAAGGACATCTACCCCATCGTTGGTTTGGTGGAAACTCATAGTCCTGCACAGAAGTGCCCGCGCTGGACGGAGGAGATGAGGCAGGATGGTGGGCGTCTCTCCTTCAGGGTGGGTTTTGAGTCTGGTAAGTCTGATACTGGCATCTCAGCGGGCGAATGGGCGTCGAAGTGCTGCCACTTGGCAGCCATCCAAGTCGACCGATTGCGTGATCAAGCGATAGATGACAACAGAATGGGCCCGTTCAAAGGATTCTGCCACGGCACTCCATCTCAAGTCAGGCAATTTGGTTCTCATGTCGCCTACCTCCTCCCGTCGCAAGGTGTAAGTCATTACAACAATGAGGTGCTCGTCGCCCTCGGTGCATTCGCCGAGGCGCTCGCGGACCCGTGGCTTATCATGGCAGATAGGAATAACGAGCCGCAGGTTCTGCTCGACACTGGTTGGGTTGATGGGCTTCGAGGCCATTTGGTCCTTCCTAATTGTCAGTTCACCTGCGACAAAGGACAGGGTCGCATGTGCGACTTCGGCATCGCTTCCAAGCAGCTCGCCACGGACAGGGTTCAACGCAGACAGGTTCTGGCAGCCCCGTGGAAAACCTGCCGCGCCATTGCCATTGACGTGCTCGATGCGAAGAAGACTCGGTGGCATCGATCGCTCGATCTGCCCGCCCCCCTGCCCGGAGCGTCCCGAACACAGAAGGCCCCGAACCCCGACGGCAAGATATCTCAGAAACGTGAGCTGGGGCGTGGCGCTCGGCGGTGAGAGTTGCCTGAAGACCTTCGTGAAGCCTTTGATGGTCTTCCTTCGCAGGCGGCGCAACCTCCGGCGATGCCAGTGCAGTTCAAGCTGGACGAGGAGGCGTGGGGTGCGTCATCAAGGGCGCGCTCTCGGAGGATATCATCAAGCCCTGCGCGGCAGCTGCGCAGCTTACTTCAGGTGCGCTACTTGTCTGGGGGCCTGCTCAGCGAGCAGCTCTGGGCGTGCAATGCGGACGATGGATCACGACCCCCGAGCGAGCCATTCTTGAAGTAAGTGAGGTTGAGGATCCCAGCCAACACGTTGGACGTGGATATGGCTATTCTATCTCTTGGCAAAAGATGCGCCCAGCTCCAGGCAGACCTCATATGCGCGACCCGACTGCAGAGTGGTGGGGCAGCTCGTCCACTTTACCCACGAGAGGATCGGCACTCACGCGGTCTGGCAAAGGCCCTTCTGAAGCCACGAAGTGTTTGAAAGGGTTCAGTAGTATGTGCAGCAGCCTGGATGAGTCTGAGCGTCGCGAATACTTTGGGTAAGGCACTGCTCACTGACATCAGCGAATGGAAAGAATGCGCGTGCTAGGCCACACCTTAGACCTTGGGCAGCTGGAAACCTTGACTCAGCTTACGAATGTGTGGACAGTCGGGGCCCAAGGCAGATCGCTGGTCAAGTCCAGGCATGCTTTCATGGACTGGGCCAAACTGATGTGGTCGAAGAGCCCTGGTGCTGTGCACCGACGCGTTCGCTCGCCTCCGCCCGACCCGCTTCCTCGTGAGATTCTCAGGGAGGGTGCCTACGCGGCCGACCCGAGCGTGCTCATCCGAACCAAGAAGGGGGTGTGGCAGGACACTTGCCAAGAAAAGCACGAATCACACGAACATCTGCTTTGGACACTTAAAGGAGTGACTCGTGATGTTCGGGATGACCCACTCCCTCCTCTCAGCGAAGGACAGATCGAGTCGATAATCAGAAGGCAGTCGCCCAACAAAGCCAGAGGAGTTGATGGTTTGGGTCCAGTTGATCTTCAGAGAATGCAGCCTTCTGGTCTGATGGGGCTCACTAGCATTCTTAACCAGGCCGAACTAGTTCAGACATGGCCGGCGGCGCTGTTGGCCACCATTTGTGCTGTGATCCCAAGGCCGCTGGAGACCAGAGTACTTGGCATGCTGCTTCATTGCTGCTATGCGTGGGGTCAAGCCAGAAGTTCTATCACGTCGAGTTGGGCGGAAGGTGTATCGGCCTCTTGGGGCGCGGCTATTCGAGGCAGCAGCGCCTTGCGAGCTGCGATGATGAGGGGCGTGGTGGACGAAACTTCACACTCCTTGGGCTTTGCGTCGGCTACGGTGCTTCTGGACATCGCCAGCTTCTACGATTCGATTTCGTTCGCCCTGCTTATCGTGGCGGCGCGCGGCCTCAACTTCTCGCCGACGGTGGTGCTGATGGAGGTGCTCCTCTCCATGGCGCCGCGCGTCCTCAAGGGGGGCTCGGTCATCAGCGACCCCTTCTGCCCGGGCCGTTCGATAGTGGCAGGCTCGTCCCATGGTGTGTGCCTTGGGAAAGTGTTCTTGCATTCGGTTTTGGAAGCTGCCCACAAACGAGCCCCCCAGGCCTCCCCGTTAACCTTCGTCGACGACGCGGTAGGGTGCCAACGGGTACATGCAGCATCCCCTAGTGGCTCCTTGTCCTTGGGTGTCCAAGTACTTTGCCTGCTATGTCGCGGAGATCGTGAGGCTTTCAAGATACAGGGGTTATGCCTGCTTTAGCGCGGAGATCGTGAGGCTTCCCAAATGTAATGCCTGCTTTGGCGCGGTGACCATGTGACTCGTGACAGAAAGGAGTTGGAGACGCCAGACGAGCGAACCGCTCGAGACATCCCCACACTCTGGGCAGTACCGGGGCAATGAGATAACCACTGTCGGCTCCTCCTCGGGGTGCCCGAGTGCTATGCCTACTATATCGCGGTGATCATGAGGGTCTCAAGGGACAGGAGTCTGGCACGCCAAACGGGCGAACCTCGCGAGACGTCCCCACGATCTGGCCGCGACCGCGGAAATGAATTTCTCCCTGGCGGCTCCTGGTGCCCAAGCACTATGCCTGCCACATCGCGGTGCTCATCAGGCTTTAGAAATAGAAGAGTCGGGCCGTCAAACAAGCGAACCTTGCGAGGCACCCCCACGCCAGGCCCAAATGGGAAAATGAAGTACCCCCTGGCGGTTCCCCCCTGGGGTACCCGAGTGCAATGCGTGGTGCATCCCGGTGATCATGGGGCTCTGAAAGGAGAGGAGTCGGAGGACAGGAGAAGAGTCTCAGTGTGAGTGAGTCTGTGTGAGAGTGAGTTTGAGTGCGAGTGAGTCTGAGCGTGAGTGAGTCTGAGTACTAGGAAGTCTAAGTGTGAGCCAGCTTCAGTATGAGTGATCTGACAGTGGGGAAGTCTGAGTGAGAGTAACTCAGTACGAATAGGTCGAAGTCTGAGTGTGTCGAGGCGGGAGCGGGAGGAGGGAGAGAGGAGGAGGAGGAAGAGGAGGGGGATGATGATGATGATGATGATGATGATGATGATGATGATGATGATGAGGAGGAGGAGGAGGAGGAGGAGGAGGAGGAGGAGGAGGAGGAGGAGGAGGGAGGAGCGCGAGCGGGAGGCGGAGGTGTCACACTAATAACAACACGAAGCCCGTCGTAGGATGTGGGGAACAACGACGGGACGTTTCTGGCAGTTCTTGTCCTCTGGGCATCCTCACGGGTCCCCGGGGGCCGCCAACAAACGACTCGGGATAAAAAGCCGGTCCGGGGGAAGATGTCTCTGGGGCTCCACGTTGTGAAAAAGGCACCACGTCGGGGTTTTGGGAAGGTGCCCCCAGAATTCCTTGGGAAGACCAGATAGGGTCCAGAGCGCCCCTCACGATGCCTTGAGGGCCCCAGGGGCTCCAGAGTGGCGCGATGAGCCAGGGACACCTTGGGCCAGGGACATCTTGGGCAAGTCCCCCTCCGGGAGGCCTGTCGGAGATCTGCGTGGACCTCCTGGGTCGGCGCTGGGCCCTCCCTCCCCGCCACCCGCCCAGGCCGCCGAGAGCTTGCAGCCAAGACGCTGAAGTGAGGACCACTTCGGGTTCAGGAGGGTCTCTACCTTTCGTGCCCAGGCTCGCCGCGGACAGAAACGCCCCTTCGAGGCTTATCTGAGCGATGGAAATAGAACGGGTCGACATTCTCGCATAAGCTTCTTGCGTAAGGCCACGCGTAAGCGTTCTCTTCTCCACGCGACGTGCACGTTGGCGGCCCGCGTAATCCTTCGCGTGTGGTCGCTATGATGATTTCTTGCGTACGACCCGTTTCTTTTCGTCGCTCATCTGGCGTTCTTCCTGGTAGCACGTTTTTTGGGGGGGTCTTCCACAGAGGCTGCCGCGGGACGCGAGGCCTGGGGAGCTGGCGGTCGCGGAGGGCCCGCACGGCCCTGTCGAGGTCGAGACCCCGTCCGACCACAAGCCTGGCACGAAGGTTCCAGTGTGGCCATAGCAGATGGTGTCCCAGACATTTTCCTCGTTGCGAAAAAACCACGACGGGCAGTTTTTGGCTGTTTTCGGTCTCGGGTAACCTCACACCGGGCCCGGGACCGTCAAAGAACACGTCGGGATGGAAAACTGGTTTCAGGGGTCCGCGTTCAGAAAAAATCAACACGTCGAATATCTGGGGTCGGAGGACCGCGCCGCATCGCCGCTGCTTTGGCGATGCGGCGCGATTTGGAGCCGGTTCTTCTTCATCCTGCCGTCGCCGATGCATCGCCGATGCTTGGGGTGCGGCATAGTCCTCCGACCCCGTCCGCTCTGGCTCTATTTTGCGAGGCCTCCAAAGGTCCAGCTTCGGCTGGGGGCGCCCCCAGAGCTGCGCATCCGGGTGCCCGAGGACGGGAAGCCAGGCGACCGGCTGCAGGTCATCAGGGCCGACCGGGTCAGGATAGCCGCACGCATTCCGCAGGGCATGAAGGCACGGTCCATTTCGATACGATCTATCCCGTTTTGCACCGACTCCAGCTGGCCCGATCCGATTTGTTTCCGAGATTCCGACGATCCGATACGGTCTGATGCTTGCATGTCGCTGTTGTGCAACCCGGCCCAGCGGATCCGATTCGATCTCGATTTTGTGGCCATGCAGCCCGATCCGACGCACGTTCCGATCCGATCCGATTTCCCGATTCGATGCTGACTGATCCCGCGAAGGGCGGTGACTTCTTCAAGGTGGCAGTCCCAGCGGTCGTGGTCGCGGTCCCAGAGGGAGCGAAGACCGGCGAGCTGGTGACTTTTCGTCTTCCCCCGCCAGAGGGCAAGTGCAAGGGCGAGTGGATGCAGGCGTGGTGCCCGAGCGAGCTCCTGTATGGCAGATACTTTGCCGCATGCATGCCGCTGACCGTCGGCAAGCGGTAGATGGAGAGGGCTTGATGGGCCCGTGCTCGGCCACACAAACGGTCTGAATCGCTAGCCGCTGGCCTTGCACTTTCTCTCCCACTCAGTGTAGATCTTTTTCTCTTGCTTGAACTTGAGCAGGGAGTTCTTTTTGCGCACGTGTTTCTCGTGTGTATCGGCACCTCTCCAAGTAAGGGGCCGAGTAGTTCGGAGGGCCGTGCTGCGGATACGACGGGTCGAGCACTTGGGAGCGGGCTGCTTCTGCACAGACCCGCGCGACCCGACCTCACCGCAGCGGCCATTCGATTAGCGCCGCTCTCGGAGGATCGGGGGCGCCGAGAGGGGGTGGGGAAGGGGCTCATGGGCGGGGAGGCATCGGCCTCCGCTCGCCCGCTCGCCGCCGATCGGGGATCGGGTGTGCCCCGCCGCCCTTTCCAGGAAGCGTTCGGGCAAGGCATCGTCGATTCCAGGCCTGCTCCGCCCCTCGAAGAAGGAGGAACGACACGAACATGATCTTTCGGATGTCCTCGTGGATTCCAAGAAGTCCGCGCAGACCTCCATGTCTGTCCCTACAGTCAGGACGCTGAAGTAGGGACCACTTTGGGTCCAGGAGGGGCTCTGACTTTCGGGCCGTTCCTTAGATCAATCTCGGGAAGCCTATTCGTGGCCGAGGCTTGCCACGGCCAGGCAAGCCCCTTCCTTCTTTATTCAGCGTTCCTTACGGTAGCACGATGGCTGTATTCCAGCCTGCGACCCCCTCCCCTGGCCAGTTTCCCCCCCTCTTCCGGCGCCCCCCTTCGAAGCGGGACGAGCGGGAGCGGCGCCTGCACGCCTGGGCGCACAAAGCTAGTGCCTGCGCTGCATATTTTTTGGGTGCTCGGACGCAGCAACATATCTGGCGTGCCTGCAGATCGGGGGCGTCCAAGATGGGAGCGAGGACTAGGTGTGTGTGTGTGTGTGTGGATGTCATGGCTGGGACAATTAAGCCTCGCAGAGATTTTCTTCTGAGTTTCAAGACGTTCCCAGCCCCCCTCTCGTCCGCGCGCATGCTTCGGGCCATGATGCACCCCCCTCTTCGAGGTCCCCTCTTCGGCGCAACCGAGCAGGGATCGACCTGAACACGTGCAGCGCCAGTGCTGCGTCCGACGGAGAAAAACGGCATGAACATAAACTTTGGAAGGTCGGCGGGCGCTGGGTCCCCTTTGCAGCGCCTCTGACGCCGCTCCTGGCGCGCTCCGCACGCCAGGGAAGGATGTCCAGCGTAGATCCGAGAACTCCGCGCGGATCATCGACAGTTGATATTATGTAGTTTTTTCTTTTATTATCCATTGTTGCGTCCTCTCTCACCTGTGTTGTTCCGTTCTCCGAGCTGACATTCTTCGGCGTTGATCGCGGGTTTCATCGAGCCAATTGCACGCAGGGGCAGCATACAGGTTAAGCAGGGGTGGCGCCGCATGGTTGGGTGTACAAAGCAAACGCCTCTGCCACATATCTTTACGTATCATTTGGGATAGAATGCCACCTTTTGCGTCAAAGTGGGGCATGCGTGAGAGAGAGAGAGGGAGAGATAATGAGAGAGAGAGAGGAACAGCGGACCCATGGACCAGATCAAATAAGATTGTGTTGACAAAGCGCTTGAAGGCAGCAGCGGCCTCAACTGTGGAGCATCCCCTTGGAGGGTGGTCGCTGTCCGCTTGCTCCGTGGTGTGATTGGGTATGCGAACAAACAGCCATTATCGTCCTCCTCTTCCTTCTAATTTCCTGCTCCTCTCCCTCCTCGTGGTCTCATTCCTCCTCCTGCCCCTCATCCTCTGCATCCTCTGTCGTCGTCATCCTCCTCTGTCCTGCTAAAGCTGCTTCGCGATCTTCCGACTCCTAATACGACTACAAGTGCTGCTAGTAGTAGTAGTAGTAGTAGTAGTAGTAGTAGTAGTAGTAGTGGTAGTGGTAGTGGTGGTAGTAGTAGTAGTAGTAGTAGTAGTAGTAGTAGTAGTAGCAGTAGTAGTAGTAGCAGTAGTAGTAGTAGTAGTAGTAGTGGTAGTAGTAGTAGTAGTAGTAGTAGTAGTAGTAGTAGTAGTAGTAGTAGTAGTAGTAGTTAGTAGTAGTTAGTAGTAGTAGTAGTAGTAAGTAGTAGTAGTAGTCTTAGTAGTATTCGTACTCCAGATGCGAGTATTTAGTAGTAGTCGTAGTAGTAGTAAGTATCAGTAGTAGTAGTAGTGTAGTAAGTAGTAGTAGGAGTAGTATTAGTAGTCGTAGTATTAGTAGTAAGTCTTATTAGTAGTATAGTTATAGTAGTAGTAGTAAGTAGTAGTAATAGTAGTCGCAGTATAGTCGTCGTCGTAGTCGCGTAGTCGGGTAGTAGTAGTAGTAGTAGTAGTAGTAGTAGTAGCAGTAGTCGTAGTAGTAGTAGTAGTAGTAGTAGTAGTAGTAGTAGTAGTCGTAGTAGTAGTAGTAGTAGTAGTAGTAGTAGTAGTAGTAGTAGTAGTAGTCGTAGTAGTAGTCGTCGTCGTCGTCGTCGTGGTGGTGGTGGTGGTGGTGGCGGTGGTGGTGGTGGTGGTGGTAGTAATGTCAGTGTTAGTGTTGTTGCTGTTGTCGTCGTCGTCGTCGTCGTTGTTGTTGTTGTTGTTGTTGGTGGTGTTGGTGTTGTTGTTGAACATTATTTATTCTAAAGAATAATTATTGTTGGGCCCCCTGGTGCGCGCCCCCCCTGCGCCGCCTAGGCCGCAGCTACATTTTCATCATTTTCGTGAGGGAGCCTCAGAAAAGAGGGTGTGTACAGGATCCGGTTGTTTTGTTGTAATCCGCTTTCCCTTGCAAAAAACAATAGAAAATGACATTTCTTGTTCTAATATAATCAAATTTCAAGAATCCCTTGCAAAAAATAAGGTAAAGTGGACATTCGCGCGCGCAAGACGAAATCCTTCCAAAAGCTTAGTGTTCGGAGCGATTTTAACATAAAAACATCAAAAAACCAATGGTTTTTCAACAAAAAATTGTCAAAATCTCATCCCGCGCGCTCTTGCGGATTCGTAGGAAACCCAACACTTTTTAAACATTTCTGTCAAACGGGCTTTTGCGAGCAACTTTTTCGAACTTCTGCGACAACGGTTGCGCACCTGCCAGGGCCATCATCCCTGTCAAATAATACCATGCGGGACACATTCGTTTTTTCTTCGCGCGCATATCCCTCAGGAATTTGCCCTAAAGATGTGATCAACTATCTTGTGAGTACGTATCATGTGTATCATGTGTATCATGTACCATATGCATCATATGCAACAGATGTTCTGTGGAAGGCTTAACAACTTCTGTGGGTTAACAAGGCTTAACAACTTCTGTGGGTGTACGAACGTAGGCTTAACAACTTCTGTGGGTGTGTACTCCACGCCAGTGTAGTAGCCACGGTCGTCCGCAGGCCACGAAGTGAAGTGTCCGAACGTCATAGGGCGGGAAGCTGGGTGTGGGTGGTGGCGAAGAGTCGTGTGGATATTTGGTAGAGCTTGCACTGCCCCCCCACAAAGTGGGGGTATTGGCTGGCGTCGCATGAAAACCCTGGCACTGGTGAGAACACTGAGCGTTCGGGGTAAAGTGATTGTTGTTGTTGTTGTTGCTGTTGTTGTTGCTGCTGCTGTTGCTGTTGCTGTGCTGTTGTTGTGTTGTTGTTGTTGTTGTTGTTGTTGTTGTTGTTGTTGTTGTTGTTGTTGAACATTATTTATTCTAAAGAATAATTATTGTTGGGCCCCCTGGTGCGCGCCCCCCCTGCGCCGCCTAGGCCGCAGCTACATTTTCATCATTTTCGTGAGGAAGCCTCAGAAAAGAGGGTGTGTACAGGATCCGGTTGTTTTGTTGTAATCCGCTTTCCCTTGCAAAAAACAATAGAAAATGACATTTCTTGTTCTAATATAATCAAATTTCAAGAATCCCTTGCAAAAAATAAGGTAAAGTGGACATTCGCGCGCGCAAGACGAAATCCTTCCAAAACCTTAGTGTTCGCAGCGATTTTAACATAAAAACATCAAAAAACCAATGGTTTTTCAACAAAAAATTGTCAAAATCTCATCCCGCGCGCTCTTGCGGATTCGTAGGAAACCCAACACTTTTTAAACATTTCTGTCAAACGGGCTTTTGCGAGCAACTTTTTCGAACTTCTGCAACAACGGTTGCGCACCTGCCAGGGCCATCATCCCTGTCAAATAATACCATGCGGGACACATTCGTTTTTTCTTCGCGCGCGCACGCCGTCGTCGTCGGCCGCGGGGCCCTGAATAGTAGCCACGGTCGTCCGCATGCCACGAAGTGAAGTGTCCGAACGTCATAGGGCGGGAAGCTGGGTGTGGGTGGTGGCGAAGAGTCGTTTGGAAATTTGGTAGAGCTTGAACCGGCCCCCCCACAAAGTACGCGTGCGCTGACGACCCGTACCCCCTGGCCCCACGGGGCTGTTGGGGTGTTGGTGTTGGTGTCCTGTAGGATTCCATAGGGGTCCTATAGGATACTTGAGATTATTTACGACTCCATCGGGAACCTATACGATTCCAAAGGAATCCTATAGAAATGCCATCGGGATCCTGTAGGATTCCATGGGGATCCTGTAGGATTCCATTCAGATCCTGTAGGATGCCATATGGGATCCTATCGGGTTCCATAGGGATCCGTAGAAATCCTTATAGGATCCCTGAGCATCCTCATATGATCCCCATGGAACCTTATAGGAGTCCTGCAGGATCCAAATGGGTCCCCAGAAGATCCCAAGGGAATCCTCCAGGAGTCCTATATGGTCCCTATGGAATCCCGTAGGTTCTCTATGGAATCCTACAGGACCCGCAGGGGATCCTGTAGCCCCCTATTGGACCCCTATGGGATCCTATAGTATCCGTGTGGAACCATATAGAAATTTCAATGTAATCCTATGGGATCCCGATGGAATCCTATAGGGGTGCCAAGACGGCCCGAGAGGCCCCCAAGACAGCCCAATGGATCCCCAGGACGAGCCCCAGAGGGGTGCCAGAGGTGCATAACCATATTCTAATGCCGGGCTTTCGGTCCCATCTCCATCTCGAAACGGAGCTGCCTTCAATCCGTGCAGTGCTACAGGTGAAGAAGTTTCGGGCGAAACACGTTCTGAAAAGAGAAGTCGTTTTTCATCCCTGAAACTGTCGCACACTTTTTGAAATTGTGCTAAGGCGAGAGCCATATTTTGAACACGACCCGTGCTCCATTCGTGAAGCAGGTGCAACGTATTAAGACGAATGTGCGCGGCGCTAAGGCGAGAGCTCAATTTTTGAGAGCCACCCACGTTTCTTCCATGGATCTGCTGCACACTGTTTTAGACGAATGTACGTGGCGCTAAGGCGAGAGTCCCATTTTGAAACGCCCCCATTCATCCCTACGCCTGTTGCCAATCCTTAAAGCGAACGTGCCCTGCGCTAAGACGAGAGCCACATTTTGAAAAGGAGCCAGCCTCCATCCTGGAAGATGTTGCCAATGTTTATGACGAATGTGCGCGGCCCTGAGGCGAGAGCCACATGTTGAAAACGACGCCCCCTCCATCCATTAATCTGCGTCAGATTTTGTAAGACGAGTGCCCGCGGCGCTAGGGCGAGAGACACATGTCGAAAACGACCTGTGCTCCCTTCACGTATTTGCTGCATGATTTTGGAGGACCCCCAGGCCTTCTGATGCGCGTTCTGGCCTGAATTTTTAGGCGGGTCCAGGCGAAGGCGCTCCAGGATGCCCGAGGAGGCCCGAGGGCGCCACCGAAGAACCCAACTCGGCGACGAGGATCGAGGATCGATCGAGGATTGACGATCGATCGAGGACTGAAGTTTAGACATTTTTTGGATCCTCGACGACGACGGCGGCGGCGACGACGACACGACGACGTGGACCAGCGGTCTGCGGAAGTCTCCTGAGACGTCCCGCGTTTCAAAAATGGCGATCGATCTGCAGGTCGTCGATCCTCGATCCTCTACCCGCGATCCTTGCTCGATCCCCGATCCTCGATCGATCCTCGACCCTGCACCCCAGATTGATCCTCGATCAATCCTCGACCGATCTTCGACGGGCGCCGACGACACGACGACGGAAGCCCCCTCCGCGCACCAAAGGCCACTCTTGGCTAGGGTCACTCTTTTCGGAAACTGGAACATATACATTACCAGTGGCGGGCTGTTTTCAATCCCAGAATTTCTTGAGGGTCAAGGACGACGCTGGGGTGGTTGGGTGTATTATTCTTTCCCCGATGTCCCGGGGAAACAACGAAAAATGTATGCACCGGGGTCCCGTATACACCAGGATCCGGTCTCCAGTGCAAATTCTAATGCAGGGCCGGAAGAAGCGTCGGTGTATAGAGTTCGATTCCTTATCTTTGCGTGTTGCCGACGAGAACGTCCAAGACTTCGGTCCTCGATCGGTCCGTGATCCTCGATCGACCCTTCATCCTCAATCGATTCTTGATTGATCCGCGATCCTCGATCGCTCTTCGCTCGATCTCTCGAACCTCGATCCTTGACCCTTGATCCTCGACCCTTGATCCTCGATCGATCCTCGATCGATCCTTCATCCGCGATCGATCCTCGACCCTGGATACTGAACCGACTCGATCCTCAACGGGCGCTGGCGACACGACGGCGCCGGAAGCCCCAGGGCAGACCTGACGGCCGCCAAGAAGGCGATGGCGGAGGCTGGGCGTGGGCTGCCCCGCTACCCTCTGGCGCCCTTGTCGTCGGGATTTCTCTTCGTTCGTCGTCGTCGTCGTCTCTTGCTTCTCGTCGTCCCCAGACCTTGTTGCGAAAAGTCAGGACGCGAGGGTTTGGCCCGTTTTCGGCTTTCGCCACGAAACAATCCGGGGTGAGAGACCTGCCCTGGGGGGTTCATGTTGTAAACAATCACGACGTCGGAGGTCTGGGTCGCTCCTCCCCGTCGTGGTCGTTAGTCGTCGTAAGCCGTCGTCCCAGCGGTTTTCGTCCAGAACGGTTGTCTTCTATTCCGCCCTCTGGCCCTACGGCCAAGACGCTGAAATAAGGAGCAGTTCGGATTCGGAAGGGCCTCTGGTTCTCGGGCCGCTCCCCAGATCTAGGCCTGGGAGCCTCTTCGTGGCCGAGGCCCGTCGTGGCCAGAACCAACGACTCTAGGCCTCCCAGATGGGGTCAGAGTAGATGGGGTCGGCGGATCGCGCAGCATCGCCAGTGCATCGGCGATGCGGCTCGATGTGGGGCCCGATCTTCTCCACGCCGACGTCGCCGATGCATCGGCGACGTCGCCGATGCATCGGCGATGCGGCGCGATCCTCCGACCCCATCTACTCGGAACCCATTTGGAAGGCCTCTAGAAACGCCCCTCGTTCCCTGCTCTCGCTCCCTGTGGCATCGCAACGGCTGCAGAGGGGCCCTCCCGAGCCAGCGCTCCTCGGCCTCTGGCGCTCCCCCGCAGGGGCCGTCTGCGGGACGTTTCTCGCGCCCGTCCTGTCCCCATCGCCACTTGACGCCAAACTCGAAGAATAGAAAATGGCATAAACATGACTTTGGGATGTCCGCGCGAATTTCTTGGATCTGCTCTGGCCCCCCCCCCCCTGTGGCGCTGCCGGTTTTGCTGATCCCAGAAAATCGATCGGACCTCCGATAATTTATGTTGATGGCGCTTTCTACTCCACCACAAACGGTGTTCGACAATCTCCGAGAGGTATTCCGTGACATACGCACCCTGCCGTTGCAGAGCCATGTGCTCATGTTCGTCGAAGGAAGAACCACTGTGTCGTGTCCTTCCAGTGCTCCTGGTTGCGGTGCGACCTGGCTCGAAGAAGTAACAGCGGCATAAGCATGCAGTTTCGGAGGTCCACGCGGGTTTCTCGGATCTGAATGTCCCCCCCCTCTTGCACCCCCCCGACATGCCATGCGCCTCGGCGAGGCCACGGCCAAGCGCGAGGCGCAGCACGCGGACTTCCTGGGCATGCAGGCGGACTACGTCGCGAACATCGGCGCGCTCACAAAGGCCCGCTGTCCTCCAGGAGGGGGAGGGGGAAGGGGGAGGCGGAGGAGGGATGAGGAGGAGGGAGGAGGAGGAGGAGGAGGAGGAGGAGAGGAGGAGGAGGAGGAGGAGGAGGAGGAGGAGGAGGAGGAGGAGGAGGAGGAGGAGGAGGAGGAGGAGGAGGAGGAGGAGGAGGATGTGTTTGTAAGCTCCCGGAGGCTCTGCCAGCCTCGGGATGCTTTCCAGCAGCTGCGTCTCGACGAGAGCGTTGCGGGGGTGTCCAGGTCGTCCCGAACGGCCGCGAGGCCCAGCCAGCCAGCACGAGTCGGCATCCCAGCTTGGCAGTTGGGCATTGACAGAGGAACGTCTCATTGGCGCCTCATAGGGGCGTGGTGGCGCACGCGATGACAGACTTCTTCCGCGGGAGGAGCAGCATTTGGAGGGTGATGGTTTTGGAGGTGGAGGAGGATGACAAGAGTAATCCCAAGATGCATCAGCGATGCTGCAACACGCCCTTCCGTCCCGAGTCCCCTCAAGAAGTCTCTACAAGCTCTTCTTTTCGATGCGAGAAGCGCCCCCCTTGAAAGACGAGCGCCCTGTGGGCCTGCCGTTCAGGCGAGAGCTTCGAGCGGATGGTACGGAGTGCGAGGAGGTACGATCGTGCAGTTCAACGAGGCGCCCAGCGAGATCCCCATCTTCAGAAAGGACTGCCCCACGTGTGGGACTCCTGCACCAGGCTACACTTCTGGTCAGTAACTTCGGGGAAGTCTAAAGCGAGAGTCCCATTTTGAAAAGGAGCCTCCGTCCATCTGTGCAGCTGCTGCATGCCTTTGATCTTCTGGTTTTAGAACTGTGGAAGTGCCGATCGATAGTTCCCAACCCTCCTGCGTTGGGTTCTTGTTTTGAATAGAACACTGTGGTCTCCACTTCTCCTCCCTCCTCCCCCTCCTGACTTTTGCCTCCTACTTCCTGCCTCCTGTCTCCTCGTCCTGCTCATTTTTTCCCAGCCCTCCCTTGGTTGGGTCCTCGTTCTGAAAGAGATAGTGTGGGCCCCACCTCCTCTTCCTCCTCCTCCTCCTCCTTCCTCCCTCCTCCCTCCTCCCCGCCTCCCCTTCATTTCCTCCCCTCAGCCCCCTCTCTTTCCTGTTTCGTCGTCCTCTCCCTCGTCGAGACCTTGCGGGCCCTGCGGGGCTGCGAACCGCGCAATTGTTGCCACTTTCATGGGCTCCCGGGAGGTCCAGCGGAGTGGAGGTTCACGCGGACCTGCCGAGACCTCGCGGCTCCTTGAGGGTTGCGAACCGTGTTATTGCTGCCACTTTCGTGGGCTCCTGGGAGGTCCAGCGGACTGGAGGTCCACGCGGACCTGCCGAGACCTCGCGGTTCCTTGAGGGTTGCGAACCGTGTTATTTCTGCCACTTTCGTGGGCTCCTGGGAGGTTCAGCGGACTGGAGGTCCACGCGGACCTGCCGAGACCTCGCGGCTCCTTGAGGGTTGCGAACCGTGTTATTGTTGCCACTTTCGTGGGCTCCTGGGAGGTCCAACGGACTGGAGGTCCACGCGGACCTGCCGAGACCTCGCGGCTCCTGCGCGGCTAATTACGAACCGTGCAATTGTCGCAGCTTTCGTGGGCTCTTGGGAGGTCCAGCGGAGTGGAGGTCCACGCGGACCTGCCGAGACCTCGTGCAATTGCTGCCACTTTCGTGGGCTCCTGGGAGGTCCAGCGGACTGGAGGTCCACGCGGACCTGCTGAGACCTCGCGGTTTCAGCGGGACTGCGAACCGCACAATTGTCGCCATTCTCGTTGGCTCCTGGGAGGTCCAGCGGAGTGGAGGTCCACGCGGACCTGCCGAGATCTGCCGAGACCTCGCGCTCCCTGGGGGGCTGCGAACCGCCGCCGCGCTTTTTTGTTTCCACTCTCGGGCGCTTGTCCTCGCCTCGCCCTTGTTGCCTCGCATTTGTACTTTCATTTTTTCACGGGTAGGTGATTCCAAGTACTGCGGGCCTCTTCTGACGTTCGTTTGCATGGGGTGCTCGTGAAGACACCTTCCGCATGATTTCAATTGGTTGAGCACATAATTGGTTAGTTTTAGCTTGAATTGGACTTGTGAGCCATATTGGTAGTTGATGCAAAATGTGAAGGCGCACATGTTAGGCGCTAGGGCGAGAGCCCCATTTTGACAAGGCACCGCTCTACATCTTTGTAAATGTTGCAAGCTTTTAGGCCGCATGTGCGCGGCGCTAAGGCCAGAGCCCCATTTCGAAACGGCCTGTGCTCCATCCTTGTAAGGGCTGCGTGCTTGTAAGACGAATCTGCGTGGCGCTAGGGCGAGAGCACCAGTTTGAAACCGACCTGTGCTCCATTCTTCTCATTTTTGACAGCTTCAAACGAACGTGCGAAGGTTTGAAAACGAACTGCTCCATCTTTTAAACTGTTCCAAGATTACATAATTGATGTGGACGGCGCTACTCCCAGAGCTGCATTTTCACAAGGGGGGTTCAAGCCCCCCCCCCCCGCTGGAAAGGGAGGGGGGGGGGGAGGGGGGTAGCTTCCGGAGTGCGAAAGGAGGAGGGGGATCTCTTCCAAGGGGCGGGAAAAAAGGAGGGGGGGGGGGCAGCAAAGGGTTGCACCCCCTCCTCTCTCTCCCCTCCCCCCACGGGCGCGCTCTCTCCCCTCTCCCCTCTCTTGCAGGGTGCAGAGAATGATCGAATTGTGGGTGGGTGGGGGGTGGGTGGGGGATGGGGGTCGTAAGGAGGGGTGTGGGGGAGAGTGGGGGGTCAGGATGGGACATGATAATGCGTGTAATGATGGTATGGTGATGATGATGAGGATGATGATGATGATGATGATGATGATGATGATGATGATGATGATGATGATGATGATGATGATGATGATGATGATGATGATGATGATAATGAGATGATGCTGATTATGATCATGATGATGATGATGATGATGAAGATGATGATGATGGTGATGGTGATGGTGATGGTGATGGTGATGATGATGATGATGATGATGATGATGATGATGCTGATTGTGATGATGATGATGATTCTGATTCTGAGTATGGTTATGATTACGCTGATGATTACGATGACGATGGTGATGATGCCGATGATGATGGTGGTGGTGGTGATGGTGGTGGTGATGATGATTCTGAAGGTGGTGATGATGATGATAATGATGATGATGCTGCTGCTGATGATGATGAGGATGAGGATGATGATGATGATGGTGATAATGATAATGATGATGATAATGACGGTGAGGTTGATGATGATGGGGATGATGCTGCTGCTGATGATGATGAGGATGATGACGATGATTATGATGCTGATGATGCTGCTGCTGATGATGCTGATGTTGATATGATGATGCTGATGGTAATGGTGATGGTGATGATGGTAACGGGATGTGGATGGTGATGCTTCGATGGTGGAGATGACGATGTCGATGCTGCTGTTGATGCTGATAATGCTGATGTTGATATGATGGTGATGCTGGTGATGATGAGGAGGAGGATGATGATGAGGATGAGGATGAGGATGAGGATGAGGACGACGATGATGATGATGATGATGATGATGATGATGATGATGATGATGATGATGATGATGATTATGATTATGCTTATGATTATGATGATGATACTGATGATGATGATGATACTGATGATGATGATGATGATGATGATGATGATGATGATGGTGATGATGATGCGGATGCTGATGAGGATGCTGATGATGGTGGTGGTGGTGGCGGTGATGATGGTGGTGATGCTGTCGATGGTGGTGTTGATGAGGACGCTTTTGATGACGATGATGCTGATGATAATGAGGATGATGATGATGCTGATGATGATGATGATGATGATGACGATGCTGATGATGATGATGACGATGATGCTGCTGCTGCTGCTGATGATGATGATGATGATGATGATGATGATGATGATGATGATGATGATGATGCTGCTGATGATGATGATGCTGATGATGATGATGATGATGATGACGGCGGGGGCGATTATGAGAAGAGGGTGAACAGGAACATACGGATCTGGGTTGATGAATATGGCGATGGAAGATCAAGGGTCTATTGGGACCTGGGGTGTAATCCTTCTCCTCCCTTTATGTATCAAAGCACGTTCCCCGCTGCGGCCGCAGCGCCGTTTGGAAGTTTGCGTGGCGCGCATGAGCCGCTTGGGATAGTCGCGCGGCGTTGGACGCGAGAGCGGGGGAGGAGGGGGGCGGAGGTAGAGGGGGATAGGGGAAGAAGAGGGGAGAGGAAGGAAGGGGAAGAGGGAGGGGCGGGGCGAGGAAGAGGAGGAGAGAGGAGTTCAAACAGAGAATGGGGATGGGAGGGAGGACGGATAATCAAACTCTCACTGGCCTCTATCCTATTTCCCCCCCGCCTCTCCTCTCGCCCCTCTCCCGTTTGTCCTCCTCCCTCATCCCCCCTCCCCCCTCCACAATTACACAATCTGAACACTATTCGCCTCTCTCCCCCGAAGACACTGAGGTCGTCGCCTGCCCCCCTCCGCGTATTGATTTTTACACATAGGATCCCCCGACGGTGTTCGATCATAGTTTTTTCCAGTCGGAACGCTCTTGGTGTTTCCCGAATGGTGTTCCCGCTACTATGTTGGCTCCTTTTTGCGGCTCCCCGTCCTTCCAAATCCTACTCCCGCTGCAGCGTTGACCTCGTTTCTCTGTTGCGGATCTTCCACACCGTGTTCCCGCTACAGCGTTGACTCATTTCACGCTTCCGCTCCTTCGAACCGTTTATTTACATGTTTCGTCTTGCGTCATGTCTGGTTTCCTTCCGAATCTGTTTCGTTATGCTGTGCTCTTCTACGGCTTTGCTACGCCGTGCGCTACCATGCATGTCGTATCCTCTCAGGGTCATTGCTCTGCTCGATATCCGACAGTGCGAATAGAAAGGATATTTACGCCATGGTAAGGGATGGGTGGGAGGGGGGGGGGGAGGACGTCAGATAAGACGCCTGCGCACCTAGCTTGCCTCCCCCCTCTCTCTTATCCTTCCATATGATTTCTCGCCTTTTCGCTCTTGTGTTGTCTTGCCATCGTGGCTCAATATTTTCTGGCTCGAGGTCATTTGCGTTTGTCGATATTCGGTCGAAGCGTGCTGTCGCTACTCATACTCGTGTTCTTTGGATTCAGGATGTCCTACGCCTTGTTGCTTGAGGCGTGAAAGCTGGATTTTAATATCTGGTGAAACATTGTAACCACTTTCGGTGATAGTGGCGGCGGTCCGCCGTGAAGATCTTATCGTTACTTCTGAGGATGAGACAGTGCTCATTGTGGCAGCAAGGGGGCTGATGACAACGAGGCGCATGCTGTTAATCAACCGCTGCCAGGGGTAGGAGGAGTGTGATGAGGAGCAGCAGCGGGATGATGAGCAGGGCCGCGTCCCTTCTGGGAGCAGCCGCCTTCAGCGTATAGGCGTTCAGGCAGGAGGGTGCCCTTGTCTCCCCTCGCCCCCGACGACGACGACGTCGGCGGGGACGGAAGCAACGGCGACGACACTGACGACGGCGACCACGCGGACGACGACGGCGGCCGCGATGGCGACGACGATGGCGACGACGACTCAGCGGCGCGCACAAGAAGGTGGCGCTAGCGGGGACGGCCTTCTGAAAAGGCGGGGGCCTTCTTAGAAAGCAAGGCCCTTTCCAGAAAGGCCAGGCTTCCATGAACGCTTCCTGGAAACCGGCGGGCTTCTAAGAAGATTTCTGACATGCAGATTTCGTCCAGCATGGGCCCCAGAGGTCCGGACCACTTCCTCCGGGCCGTCTTTTCACCCTGAGTCGTTTTTCGGCGGTCCCAAGGCGCGGTGAGAGCCCAGGAGCCCGAACACTAGCAGACACGTTTTGTTTTGTTTGTTTGTTCGTTCGTTTGTTCGTTTGTTTGTTCGTTTGTGTGTTTGCTGGTTTTGTTCGTGCGTTCGTTCGTTTTTTTTTTTTTTTTTGTGTGTGTGTGTGTGTTATTGATTGCTCCTCTCCCCAACCTTGACTTTTAACGGCGGGAAGACGTCTAGGCTGTGCGCGCGGCCAAACCGACGCCGAGCCGCTGCGGCGGCTCCCGCCCCATCGGCCCCCTCGCGCCCGGAGGCTGTGGCCGCCATCTCCAAGGGGATGGCCGGCGGGCCGCTCAGCGGCGCCCGCGGGCCGCGCGCGTCTGGGTCGGACTTTCGCGATCCAACTCCTGTCCGAGGTTCGAGGCTCGAAGTCCGAGGATTTTCGCCCTCGGGCCCCCCCCCTCGCCGTCACGGCTGGACGCAGCTCGAAAAGCTGGCCAGGATGGACCAGGAGAGGTCAAGAGACCGATCTCGAGTCGATTTTGGACACCCAGCACACGGGGCGGCCACGAGGCGGTGACGGGCGGCGACGGGCGGAACCCCCGAGAAACCCAGCCAAGTGCACCGGGCGCCCACAAGGCGCCCGCTGGCGCGCAGCGTGCGAGGACCTGGAAGACCCAGACAGCGCACGAGGCGCCCACGGGCCACGACCAACGAAAACCCGGGGAGCCCACCCGATGATTTGGATGATCTTGAAGCTAAGCAGCAGGACCCCTTGAGCGCAAGCACTGTGTTGGGAGAAGCACGTCGGAGGCCTGGGCCCCCGCGAGTCCCCAGAGGTCTCCAGAGGCCTCCTGCCCCACGGTTCCCTTCTGAGCCTGTTCGGCGTGTGAGTCCGTTCGGTCGCCGAATGGGCTCGATCGTGAGTCCAGTCGGCGGCCGAATGGGTTCAGACTGCGAACGGGCTCAGAAGGGAACCCTGGGGCAGGAGGTCCCAGGAGGTCCTCGGGGCCGCCTGGAGGACTGCGTAAGAGCCAAGAAAGTGCAGCAGGTGCCCCGAGACCTCGATCTTCGATCCGTTGTCGCCGCTGCCACTGCCGCCGTCGTCGTCGCCGTCGCCGCCGCCGCAGTCGTCGTCGTCGTCGTCGTCGTCGTCGTCGTCGTCGTCGTCGTCGTCGTCGTCGTAGCTCGGTGGTGGTGGTGGTGGTGGTGGTGGTGGTCGTCCCGTCGAGGAGGGCTGGCGGCGCGTGCAGGGGTGCAGGCGCGAGGTGGGCGGCCGTCTAAGAGGGCGAGGGCCTCCAAGAATGCATGGGGCCCTCTTAGACGGGCCCGCCCAGAAGCCTCTAAGGTTGGAGCCTGCTGGGGGTCTGAGTTGGCCCAGCATTGGTTCCAGCCAGCAGGGAGGGCGGGCAGCTTCGAGGTTCTGGGTTCGGGCAGGTTTTTTACCTTTTTTTGCCTTCGTCGGACTCTGGGGGCAGTCTTCGTGTCTCGGGACCGATTTTGAGCGGATTTGGCATTATCCCCCCTCCTGGCAGATTTCCGAGTGCCTTAGCAGTTCAGAGCCGCCGGCCGCCTCCAACTCCAAGGAGACGTCGCAGATGTCTCCGAGCTCTTCTAAGAAGCCCCGTGCTCTTTCCCCAGGCATCGACACTCCAATTTTTTGACGCGTGGGCCCCTGGACATCTCGACCTATCTCCGTGTCCTAGAGCCAGAAACCTTTCCCTGGAGGCCGAAATTGAGACAAACTGTCCGCCTCGATGTGTTCGAGGCGCCGGATATCTGGGTGGATGCCTCCCGCCGTCTTCGAAGGCCGCCCTCCCTCGCGCCACCCTCTTGTGCGCGCCGCCTACGACGGGGACATCCGACGACGATGCGATTTTTCCAATCCGCGGCCCCAGTGGACCCTTTCCCGGGGGCCAGTTTGTCGCCCGATGCCGAAGTCGTGGGTGAACGCCCGGAGCGAACACAATCACATCGTCGCAGATCTGGGAGGCGCGAGGGCGTCCACGGCCCCCCGCGCCGAGGCGGCTTTCTGCAGACCAGCGCGGCGCCCGCGCCCCCCACACCTGCGGCCGCCGCGGCGGAGGGCGAAACAGACCAGAGGGAGGGTTTCCAGCCTGCTCGTCGTCCTCCTCCCCAGACTTCCGTTCGTTGCGACAACATCACGACGAAAAGCTTCTTACCATTCTCGGCTTCTGGGGCTCTCACGGGGCCCACGGACAGTCAACAGCACATAAAAGCAAATGTCCCAGGGACACGGTCCAGACCTCCAGGGATCCAAGCGGTGAAAGAATCACGACGGCGGAGGTCTGGGTGCCGTTTTACAGTTGTTTGGATATTACGGGCCTCTCGAGGCCCCCAGAGGCCTTTGGAGAGTTCCGCAGGCCCCCTTGATGACTCCGCTTTCGATCCCTTTCCATCTTCTTCTCAATATTTGTTGTCCCCCCCCGGAAAAAAGAGTTCTTTGACCAGGGAGCTCCGCCGCAGCACAGGAATGGTCCGCCCTTGCTTGGTTTTTTGTCTGCTTCTGGGCCTCTGGAGGCTCCCGAGTGCCCCTGGACTCTGGAGAGTCCCACAGGCCTTGGAGGAAGGAGGAGGACCCATATTTCCGACGTTTTGAACACAAATGCTTCGTTTCACATAATGGTTTCGCCTGTGTTTGAGGTCTGGAAGGCTTCCCGTCGCTACGGCTGGGTTCAATTTTAAGTTCTGGCCAGAACACGCCCCCAGACGGGTCCAGGGAGTTCGTTCCTGACACCCGTGGGCCCAGACATCCATTGTCTTCTGTGCAGCATCGAGACGGAAGTTTGGCCCCGTGTGCCAACACGAAAGTGCATCCTCTTCCTTGCCCGACGTTTGTGGCCATTTGGGCAGAGGCGCTCGGCCGTTTCAGAATGACGGTTGGGCGCTGCTCCTGGCCATTCGGTCTGCGCCTTCGACGCCTCGCGGCGGCGGACACGCGCAGGCGCCCGCCATGCCAGGCGCCCGCCATGCCATGCCATCGCGCAAGAGGAAGGCAGATGGGGCAGAGGTGGAGGACCGTGGAGGAAGGTCGAGAGCGTGAGGCAGCGCTCCATACGACCATCCTGGACGGGAGCCAGGCCGCCAGGCTGGCAGAGTCCCTTTTTTTCGCCGACCTCACAGTCGGTCGAAGAGGATCGATAAGATGTCCGAAGAGGGCACGTGACCACAGAGATCACCGCCAAGACGAAGCTGACGCGTTTGGTCAAGGAAGCCGGCGGGGCACGCGCAAGTTCGTGGGCGGCCGCGATGTCGCGACCAACCCAGTCAAGTGTCACTACTTTGAGGAAAAGCTCGGCTTCGTGTCGTTCTTCGTCTCGTCATACGATGATGGTGACGATGGTTCCAGATGATCAGCTCGGTCTTCGCACGGGAGCACCTCGCCAAGGCCATGTGCAGCGCGTGTCGAAGGACGTTCATCAACAGGATCCTGGGCCCCTTGCGCCCGTGCCGCTGCATGTGCTTCAGGTGCCACGGCAGCAAACAGCACAACGATGCGAACTTCAGACTCAGGCCGGATACCGATAGCCTGAAGGTCGGATGGATCGACCTGCCAGACAAGCAGACGAGGGAATCGTTGTCGCGGCAGACCAAGTCGATCGAGCTCGCCGTAGAAGTGGAGCTCGCGAAGCACAAGGGCGGTCCAGTGGTGCCGAACGTCCAGTTGAAGAAGAACTGCGAGGCCGCCCTGAAGGAGATCAGGACGGAGGCGCCTGCGGGGTCCAGGGGCGCGCTGTGCCTGACCCTGCCCGCCGCGGCCCAGACGGACTGGGACATCTCGTCCCATGACGCGATGACGGCCTACCTGCAGTCGGGTAACATTGAGAGGCTACTGCTCCTGCGCATGCCAGCCAAGAATCCGCCGACGGGGACTCAGCCTGGCGAGACCGTGATGGCCACAGGCGCGATCTACGGGACGCGCGACGCCGGGAGGCAGTGGTACCTCTACGCGCAGAAGGTCTTCGCCGAGCACGGCCTCGTGGAGAGCAAGCTCGAGAAGGGCCTTCTACTACTTCTAGGACGAAGATGGGCTCGCCGCGGTGGTCCACTCACATGTGGGCGACTTCCTTCTCGCCCAGCGCAACAACTCCACCGAGCGGAAGACCATTATCGCATCGCTTGGGAAGAAGCTACACCCCAAGCCAGTCGAAGGGGTCATCAAGTACTGCGGACGTACGATTACCAAGCTCGACGACGAGTTCCGCGTGACCCAGGCCACCGCTGCCGCACAGGTGGACTACGTCGACTTGAAGGCCCAGAAAGGCCGAGGTGCTGAGGGCCGGCCCACCGCCACCGAGGTGACGAGCTACCGCTGCGCGCTCGGGCAGCTGTTGTGGCTAGCAGTGCAGACCCGGGTGGACATCGCCTGCCCGGTGAGCTTCGCAGCTCGACGCACCGACGTCGCTACCGTGGCCGACGCGAAGACGCTCAACAAGACTGTCGCATATGTGCACTCCACCGCGAACTTGGCGATCGTGCTCAAGCGCAAGCTCGTCGACCTGAAGACGGCCACCGCCGTGTGCTTCAGCGACGCCGCGTTCGCCAACATGGGCTGCGTCAAGAGCCGGTGGGGCATGGTGATGGGGCTCACCCATCGCCCGCGTGACGTCGTCGGCGGCCGCTGCGACCTGTGCCTGCCCGTCGCCTGGCACTCTGGCACCGCCAAGAGGTCGGTGAAGTCGACCCTCGCTGCCGAGGGAAAGGCGACCCTCGAGGGATCGGAGACCAACATGTGGTTCCGACAGCTGCTGACCGAGGCCTACAACCCCAAGACGGCGCTCAAGCATATCGACGTGCTCGCCGACAAGCGCCCTGGGGAGATCTACAGCGACAGCAAGGGTCTCGTGACGCACATCGCTTCAGATGTGGGCCAGTCTACCGACGAGCGGTTCCGCATCGTCGCCTCCGTGATCAAGGAGGCCGTGCACCCCAACAGTGCGCTCAAGCTCAGCTGGATCCCGACCTGGGCCATGGTCGCGGACGCCTTGCGAAGACGGTGGAGGCTGGCGTCCTGCTGTCGTTCTTCGGAGCCCGCCCGCAAACGCACCTGCGGGGCCCGGCAGCCGCGCCCTGCCGTGCTCGCCTCAGTCCTGTTCACCTGCCTCGGCAATGTCATGGGGCAGCCTGCTTCTCGCCGATTATGCCGGACTACAGCTTCTACATCTGCCTGCTGAAGTTCACGCTGGCCCTCGGCATGACATGCGGCATGACTATCGGTTTCGGCATCTTCATGGCGCTCTTGACGAGCCTGAGGTAGAACAACGCGATCGCCGGCGAGGAGAGCGCCGCCGAGGCGAAGGCCATGGGCGAGCACCCTGGCTGGGGCGGCCGCATGCTCGGCCGACGCCGCAACGGACCACCTACGATTCCAAAGGATCGTGATCACGACGGTGACATCACGGTGTCCCACGCGGACGTGTTCAGCAGCGCCCAGGCATCAAGTTCAGTAGCATCGGCTACGATTCAGCAGCCGCCGCCGCCGCAGGCACCGACATAACCACCGCCTGCCATTGCACGGCCACCGCCATCACCATATGCCGCCTCGTCAGCACGGGGATCTGGACGATCAAGATCAGCGCGGTCGCAGGGAAGTTCGGCTCCCGCATCACCAACCGTTGTTTCTGTGACGAGTGTATCGAGTTCCGTGTCAGCCTCATCAGCCAGTGTTGTATCATGGAGCGACTCCTCGCCGACCGCGCAGCCGAATGACATGCTCAGTTGTGTGACTGGCATTCCCTATCATGATGTTGCCATCGGCCACAACCCGCACAGTGCTGACATCACTTGCAAGACCTGCAAGAAGCACGCTTCGTGGCTGCTTCGGCATGATCATTTCGGAAATCCCGACGTCACGATTTTCCCGGAGAGTGTGATGAACGATCTCAGAGGTCGCTGGTGGAAGCTCACGGGCAGAGACGTTTGGCGAGGATCCGACCTGACGGACAAACCGGTGAAGCCGAATACAGAAAAGTGAGCCCCGCTTGGTTTTCGGGCGGCAGGTTGGCCAATCGGACCGGCAATGTTCCACCGCTCAGATCTTATGCCCGGTAAAGATTATGTATTCCGCATCGTTGCTCAGATGTATGCTTGGTAAGGATTTACGTATCTCGCATCGCCGCTCAGTTTCTATGCCCGGCCAAAGATGCACGCGTAACCGTTTTTTTTTTTTTTTTTTTTTTTTTTTTTTTTTTTTTTTTTTTTTTTTTTTTTTTTTTTGTGTGTGTGTGTGTGTGTGTGTGTGTGTGTGTGTGTGTGTGTGTGTGTGTGTGTGTGTGTGTGTGTGTGTGTGGGGGGGGGGGGGGGGGGTAAAAAGAAAACGATTGTTTTCTGATGAGAAGCTTCATTTGCTCAGTGCGCGCAGTTTTTAGATGTGATGGCGATCGCACCCAGCACTCAGATCTTATCTTGATAAGATGGCTCTTGTCGCTTCGCGATCGAACTCTTTGCCATCGCTTGTGTGCCGTGCAAGCCGCTTGCTTGTTATTTATTATTTTGATAATCATCTCCAGGCGAGTGACTTGTTATAGTCCCCGCTCGGGCGCCCGACAGAGGGTCTGCGCCGACGGCGACTGGGAGGGGTGTGAATCAAGCTCATTCCCCAGGAATGCAAGAGGCCCGAGAGGGCTTCCCCCAGAAGCCTCGAGGGGCATGTGGTTTCATTCCTTTCTCGCCGCTGCCATTTTTATTTCGAATTAGGGCCCGTTGCCTTAGAGCTGCGCCCCTCGCGAGGCCGCGAGTAAGAAGATCCGTCGACTATGGGGCCGCGATCCTCGTGAGGGGTGTGCCGACATGGGCGGGGGGGGGGGGGGGGGGGATGTAAACCTTGCCGCTGTGGCCTTCGGTGGAACTACCTAGGGGGTCGCGATGCTCGTGAGGGGTGTGCCGAAATGGGCGGGGGGACGCATGCGCACCCTGCCGCTGGGGCCTTCGGTGGAGCTCCCTATGTGGCCGCGATCCTCGTGGGGGGTTGCGCCCAAATGAACGAGATGACGCATGCAGGCCCTGCCGCTGGGGCTGGTGCCTTCGGTTGAGCTCCCTATGTGGCCGCGGTCCTCGTGAGGGGTGCGCTGCAATGGGCGGGGAGGCGCATGCAAACCCTGCCGCTCTGGCCTTCGGTGGAGCTCCCTATGGGGCCACGATCCTCGTGGCGCGCGTGCCGAACTGGGCTGGGGGACGCATGCAAACCCTGCCGCTGGAGCCTTCGGTGGAGCTCCCTGCGGGGCCGCGATCCTCGTGAGGGGTGTGCCGAAACCAGCTGGGGGGCGCATGCAAACCATGCCGCAGGGACCTTCGGTGGAGCTCCCCATGGGGCCACGATCCTCGTGAGGGATGTGCCGGCATGAGCAGAGGGGGGGGGGGGGGGCATGCAAACCCTGTCGCTGGGGCCTTCGGTGGAGCTCCCTATGTGGTCGCGATCCTCGTGCGGGGTGTGCCGAAATCAGCGGGTGGCCATGCGGCGCGCAGAAGCAGGGGTGGGAGGATGGAACAGGGAGAGGGGGGGGAAGAGGAAAAGGAGAGGAGACGCAGGGCGCTGTCCCTTCAAAACGAGGACCCAACACCACATGATGGTTGGGACTGAAATTCTAAACAGGCGAATTCAAATCCATGCGTGTTAAAACTGGCATATGAGCAGGGTCACGACAACCCGACGCGCAGATGCACGGCAGAACGCGCGAAAGCTCGGCAGAACACAGGGGCGCGGCAGAGCACACAGGACACACCAGAACCCAACAAAGAAACGGGTTCACCTTTCAGACCACACAGGAACACAGCAGAACACACATGAACACGGCGGAACACGCAGGAGCATGAAAGGGCACGGCAGAACACACAGAGCACGCAGGAGCACGGCAGAACATGCAGGATCACGGCAGAACACGCAGGTGCACGACGTAACACGCAGACCACAAGGACACGACAGAGCACATATGAGCGCGGCAGAACACACAGGAACACGACATAACGCAGGAGCAGGAGTAGCACGGCCGAGCACGGCAGACCAAACAGGAACGCGGCAGACCACGCAGGAGCATGGAAGAATACACAGGAGCATGGCAGAACGCACAAAACACATATGAGCACGGCATGACAGCAGGAGCGCGGAAGAACACACATGATCAAGGCAGTACACGTAGGAGCACGGCAAAACACATATGTGCACGGCAGAATTGACGGCAGAACACGCAGGAACACATCATAACACATAGGGAACACGGCAGAGCATGCAGGATCACGAGGAGCACGGCAGAACACACAGAGTACACAGGAGCACGGCAGAACACAAAGGAACACGGCAGACCACACAGGAGCACGGCAGGGCACACAAAACACATATGATCACGGCAGAACAACCATCAGCACGACAGAGCACAAAGGACTGCGGCAGGACACACATGAGCACGGCAGCACACAGGAGCATGGCAGAGCTCGCAGGAGCGCGGCAGATCACACAAAACACATAGGAGCACGGCAAAACAAGCAGCGGCACGGCAGAACACACAGGAACACGGCAGAACACACAGGACCACGGCATAAGGCATAGGAGCACGGCAGAGCAGGACCATGGCAGAATACACAGGAGCACGGCAGAACACACAGGAGCACAGCAGAACACGCAGGAGCACATCCGTAGCCATTTTGGCTCAAGGCCATGGAGCACCCGACGACCGCAAGTCGTCCGAGGCGTTTTGAGCGCGAGGGTCTCCTCGCTTTGGGCCAGTGCAATTCGTTGTTTCGCTCCGTGTTGTCTCCGCGCGGAGGCGCATCCTGTCGGCCAGTGCGGCAGTGGCCATGGCGCGCTCCCTGCGCTGCGGCGGCGGTGGCAGCAGGCGCAGCAAGACGTACTGGATGTGCAGCTGCGGTGGATGGAACTGGGACTGGCGTACCACGTGCCTCGGCTGCGCCTACGCGGCGCCGCCTTGGGTGCTGGATGCTGCCGCTGTCAGGGCCAGGCCCCAGGCGGGCAATGACGGCTGGGTGGGCCAGCCACGAGGGCGCCGTGCCCAGAGGCAGGCCCGCGGTGCGGCTGCGAGCGCGGCATCCGCCGAGTCGCAGACCTCGGCGTCGGGCGAAAGCGGGGCGCGCGGCGGCCGCGGCGCCGCGGCGACCGATAGGCTGCAGGCAGCGGTCGGGCAACTGGAGGCGCTGCAGGCGGGGCCGCCCGACGGTGTGGAGAGCTGCTTCACCGACGTCGTCGCCAGCCAGCTGGAGGCCAAGCGCGCCGAGCTGGGCGAGGCCCAGCGGGCGGCAGCGGAGCAGAAGGCGCCCCCCCCCCCCCCCCCACCCCCCCCCCTGCCGCGGCCAACGCTGCTCCACAAGGAGGCGAACGCCATCAGCAAGGGAGAGAGGCGGCTCCGCGCCGCGCGCCAGAGCCTGGAGCAGAAACAGGCGGCGCGCGACCTCGCCGAGGCCCAGCTCCAGAAGGCCCAGCAGGATCTGGCGCAGCTCGACGCAGAGGTGGAGGAGGCCCCCCCGTGCTTTCCGCGCCCTTGAGGAGGGCGCCCGTGCGGAGGCCGAGGCGCAGCGGCGTCAGCGGGCAGCGGAGTGGGCAGGGTCCAGCGAGGTCCCTGGGCCCCTCGTGCAGCTGGACAAGCTGCCCGAGGCTTGGGGATCCAACAACTTCGAGGTGGCATGGGCGGCCATTCGTGCCCAGGTGGAGGCCGTGCGCACGCTGCTCGCCCACGCCCCTGCTGCACCAAGGAGGGCGCCATGGGCGGAGTCATGCCCCATGGGTGAGGTCAGCAGCGAGGGCGGCATCCACGCAGGAGGCACTGAGCCCTGGCAGCCGCAGAGCGCCGCGGAGCGCGGCCAGGCGGAGCGCCGCGGTGACGCCCGCGGCGAGTGGCCGAAGGTCGCCCAGGCGTTCAAGCGGGAGCTGGTGGCCGAGGCTGCTGACCTGGCCCCTCTTGCTCCTCGCCCTGCTGGGCCCGCAGCCAGGAGTTGCAGCGGAGGTTCGAGGCCAGGGCAGTCGTGAATTTAGCAGCACCAGAGTGTCTGAGCCGAGGCAGTGTGCGGGCGGGGGCGCCGATACGGCCCGCGTTGGAGGCAGGCGGCCCCTCGACCTCGGGATGGCCCAGGGCCCCCAGGCGCCAGGCCAAGCGACAACGGCAGCTCTGGATGTCCGATGCGGGCTCGAGGTGCTCGGGGTCAACGGCAATGGAGGTTATCGAGGACTTCGCCTCTCGGCACGGCGCCCTGCCGCACCTGGTGGTGCTCCAGGAGACCCGCCTGGCCCCGCACCGCCTGGAGGAAGCCAGAAGCGCAGCGCGCCGCCTGGGGTATGCGGCCTTCCTCCACGCGGCAGCGCCCACGGAAAAGGAAGGCCCGCTTGCGAACTCAGGCGGCGTGGCGGCCCTCAGCTACCTGCAGGCAGCGGAGAGTGTGTGGATGGCGCCGTGTGGCTTGAGGCATCGCATGATAGGGGTCACAGTCGCCGCTGCGTCAGGACTGCAGTTCCTGGCGTGCTCGCTGTATCTGCAGGACGCCCTGGGGCCCAAGGGCATCAACCTCGACATCTTCGCCGCCTTCGGTGACATGGTGCTGTCCGATGGCATGCCCTGGCTCGCGCAGGGCGACTTCAACGTGGAGCCAGGAACGCTGCGCGAGCTGGGCTGGCCTCGGGTGCAGCGCGGCACGTGCCTGGGGCCTGCCGAGTGCACTTGCGTGGCCCAAGGTGCAGAGCATGTGTGCGACTGGTTCGTGGGCTCCTTCTGCCTGGCCCATGGGGTCAGAGAGGCCACAGCTCTGGATGGCTTTGGGCTGTGCCCCCGCAAGCCCGTGAGGCTGCTGCTGCAGGACGTGAGACCAGACGCCCTGGTGCAGGTGCTGGTTCGTCCTGGTCGCTTTCCTGATGTTGACGCAGCTGCTTGCCGACCCCACGAGGATGCCGCAGTGCAGGTGCACCGCCGCGTGGGGCGCACCCGTTGGCAAGTGGAGCCCTGCAGCTGGACCTGGGAGTTGGGCTCCCGACCGAGCGACGCCTGCGAGGCCGCTCGGCAGTGGATCCAAGTCGTTGAGAGCACCTTGGTGGGGATCCACGGCATTGACGACGGCGACCTGCCCAGGTACCTGGGGCGGTCAGAAGGGCCCAAGGTTGTCCTCAAGCCCCTCAGCGCCGTGGTCAAGCGCGAGTACCGCCGCCGGCACTCGGCCCTCCCCCACGCCATCCGCCAGGCCCTCGACGTTGCTCTCCAGAGACTCACAGCGGACAAGACGCAGCGTTGGCAGCCCGTGCGCGAGCCCTGGTACGAGAGGCAGGTCGAGCGGGTTCTCGCCGATGTGGAGGCTGCCACTGTCGCAGCCTGTGATGAAGACGAAGTCGAGGCCCTCGAGTTCGATATTGGTGAGTCGGGCGACCTCGTTAGCCAAGCTGGCCTTCATGGAGACCCAGAGGCGATTGCAGTACTGCGGCGGCGCCTCGCAAGCTTCCAGAGGCGAGATGGATGCAAGAGCTCGGCCTCCTGGAGGGCATGGGCCAAGGAGGCGGTGCAGCAGGGTCGCAGGCTGGCCCATCGATTCGCCAAGGCTGTGCCGCCCCCGCAGGTGGTCGACCCCGACACTGGCAGACCCTTGGCAGGCATGCTGGCGGTCGGGCAGCTGGAGGCCAACTGGCAAGCCCTCTGGCAGCAGGAGGGGCTTCAAATCGGGCGCTGGAGTCGGCAGCTGGGACGTCCAAGGCGCGACTTTGCCGCCCCTCAGCCTGGAGATGCTGCAGGCTGTCTGCAGGCGTTATTCGCCTACGGCGGGCCTGGGGGCCGACCAGCTCCACCCGCGGCAGCTACTGCTGCTCCCAGTGGCCCTACAACTGCGCTGCCTGGACCTCCTGGAGGCATATGAGGAGCAACCCCAGGCCTTGGGCGCCCAGGCCACCATGATGGTCTTCATTCCCAAGGCGGACGGCGGGGTCCGACCGATTGCGCTGATTCTCCTGCTCATGCGCATCTGGAGCCGCCTGAGGCAGCCTATCTGTGCGCTGTGGGGGGCGGAGCACGACCGCCGTTTCTTCTGGGGCAAGGCAGACCGAGGGTGCGAGAAGGCGGGCTGGCTGCACAACGCCTTTGCCGTTTTCGCGCGGGAGAATGGGTTTGCCGCCGCCAGCCTCTTTCTGGACACCACCAAGTTCTACGAGAACCCGCGGCACGACGTCCTGTGGCAGTGCGGGGTCGAGCACGGCTTCAACCTGAAGTTGCTGCGTGGCCTGCTCGTGCTCTACCAGAGCCCGCGGTTCATTTGCTTCGTGGGCATGGCCGCCGAGTCTTTCACCACCTGCGGGACGGTCCTTGCAGGGTGTGCGGGTGGCCAAGCTACCCGTGCTTGCTGCCCTCCGTGCTGCCTCTGCGGGAGGCAGGCCGCTGGTGGTGGCGCGCAACGTCGTCGACGACATCGCGCTGCAAGCCGTCGGCACAGAGCGTCTGGTCGCTACGCAGCTGGGCACAGCTGGGCTGGAGGTGGCGTGCATCCTCCGCAGCCAGCACCTGCCCATCAGTGCCGCCAAGACGACCTTCCTCGCCTCGAGTCCCAGCCTTGGGCGCCAGCTGGGCGAGTTCTGGAAGTCGCAGGGCTGGACTTTCCGTAAGACCTTGCAGGCCAGGAACCTCGGCACGGACGCCACCATCACGAGGCGAGGAGTGCATGAGGGCCGAGTGCGAGCTGCTGGTTCACTTCGCCGCGCTCGCAGGCTGGGCTGCCTGCGCGCCGCAGGCGTGGAGGTTGACATCATCCACAAGGCTGGGCCCACAGCTAGTATGGTGTGGGGGCGCGCAGTCACGGGCATCGCTGACGGCGAGTTGCACAGCTGGAGGCTCTCCGCATGCCGCAGCGCAGGGGCGCCCCCGATGGGCGCTGCGCTTGGGACCTGGACCCTGCAGTCCTCGCGGCTGGCCATGCGGTCCAGATGCTTGCGAGCCTCCTGCAGCCAGCCGAGCTGCCGCGCAGGACGATGGCGCGGGGGCTGTAGGCGGCGGCAGCCAGGCACGCAGCTGCCGACGCACTGTGGAAGCACTGCGCCTCCCCCATCGATGCGGCGGTGCTAGCCCTCGCGCGGATCGGCTGGCACTTCAAGTCCGAACGCTACCTCGTCACGGACCTCGGCGACGAGCTCGACCTCTTGCTCCTCGGGCCTCGGGAACTAGGCCTGGGGGCTGGCCTCGGCGCCAGGCGTGCCTCCGATCGCCGCGATATGCGGAAGCTCAGCCACGACCCCCTCCTGCAACGGCCCCTGTACTGGGACGCTATCGGGCGGCTGCTCGGGCCAGACAGCGGGCTGAGCGTGAGGGGGCAGAACGCGCTTGGGGCCTACATCTCCAACGCGCACTGAACGCAGGCCAGGCTCTTCGATGCAGGAGAGCGGGGGCACGCGTGTTGCTGCCGTTGCGGGGCCGAGAGAGGCACCTTGTGGCACCGCCTGTTCGAGTGCCCCGTGCTGGAGCCCCAGCGGCGCGACGGAGTGTCCGCACGGCTGAAGAGGTGTGCAGAGCGAGCGCGGGCCCACGGGGAGTGCTCAGGCGAGAACTTCGCTCGCTGCTGGCTGCCTGCCCCAGCGCCGCCCCAGGGTCGCCGCACTGACGCCATGTGGGTGCAGTGGGTCAACAGGCCAGCCGATGAGAAGCTCAACGGCCAGCTGTACCTTGACGGCTCGGCCCTCGAGCCCCAGTTCAGTGCTCTTCGCCGCGCGGGATGGGCCATTGCACAGTGTGGCGACGACGGCAACCTGGCCGCAAGGGTCTACGGCACTGTCAGGCGAGACCTCTGCCCGCAGCAGGCGGCCAATGACGGCGAGGACTTCGCAGTGTGGATGATCGCCACCTTTGCAGGGCCAGCAGTTGAGGAAGTCTACATCGACTGCAGCTCCACCGTGACCTGCCTGCGCAAGGGACGTGCATATGCTACGGCGCCCAGCAGGGCCAACGCCCATCTGCGGGGCAGGATCCTGGCAGGCCTCGAGCCAGGGACCTTCGTAGTGAAGAAGGTGCCAGCCCACTGCTCAAGGCAGACGGTGCTCGACGGGCGCCTAACGGATGCCCAGCGGCGTGGCAGCGAGCATGCTGATCGCCTTGCCAAGATGGGGGCCCTGATGCATGCGGTAGACAGGCAGACTGTCGGCGAGCACCACGCGCTGGCGGAGATCGTGCTGGGGCTCGGGCGCGGGATCAGTCGGGCAGCCATCTTCTGGCAGGACATCGCGGCCAAGGACTGTGCAGGGCTGCCGCCTGCAGCTGAGCGGCGCCAGGTTCGCTTCGCCGCTGCTGAGGCGTCGCAGGCGGCAGAGGAGGCCGCTAGCCTCGCGCCGAGTGCCAAGCGGCCGCGCCTGGAGAGCGCCCGCCCGGCAGGCAGCAGCACGGCCGCCCTCTCGGCCAGCGCTGCAGCCTTCAGCATCCTGGGACACGCCCTCGCCTACGCCTGCAAGGGAGAGGGGGGCGGAACCCAGGAGCTCGTGGCGTGCACCAAGTGCGGCGCCTACATGACGTTGGGGAGTCGCTCTGGCGCGAGGCCTCGCCTCAAAGAGCGGTGCCCAGGCGACAAGGCCGACAAAGGTGGCAGGAATCAGCGCAGCCTGTGGCTTCGGGGGCCCCGTCCTGGTGGCAGGAGGCAAGAAGGGTCCCGAACCGCCAGGCACAGAGTGAAAGGAGAAGGCATTCCTGCTTTGCGCTCGCAGGGGCCACTGCCAGAGCATGCGCAGGAGCGGTACCTGGAGTGGCTTGGCATCGCGGCGGAGCCAGAGGTCGGCCCTCGGCTGCGGCGAGCTCAGCAGGCAGCGCCTCCACGGCGGCCGCGGCGCCCGCCGAGGCGGGGGGCCCAGGCGTGGCGCCCACTGTAGCGCCCGCCGCGGCCGCCGACGCCAGCCAGCCTCTGCAGCGCCCAGCCGCGGCGAGAGCGGGCCTCCTCGGGGCCTTCGGAGTCACGGAAGAAGGGGCTCGTCGCCGCGGCCCAGGCAGCGGTCGGGGCCCTGGAGGACCGCAGGGTGCGCCGCCGCATTGCCCGCCGTGGCGTGCCGCCCGTGAGTGAGTGAAATAATGCATCGCTGTGGCTTGCGCCTGCTGCTCCCGTGGGTGAGTAGGCCTCCGCCGCCCTCGGTGCCCGCCTGGGCTCGGCCTCTTTCGGGGACGCGGGCCCCGTCAGGCCCTGCTTGCGTTCTGGCCGCCACTTGCCTTTAAGGCCCCGTTTTTAACTTTAACTTTAACGCGCAGGAGCACGGCATAGCACATAGAACATCTATTCACACAGCCGCACCCACAGGCGCACGCACACAGGCACACGCACACAGGCACACGCACACGCACACGCACACGCACACACAGACACACACACACACACACGCACACACAGAGAGGCAACATACGTTCACGCAGACCGCAGGAGCACGGCAGAGCAGCACGGCATAACACAGCAGTGCCGCAGACCACCACGCACGGACACACATGCACATATCACATGCACGCACGCGCACGCGCAAGCGCACGCACGCCACGACATATCTGCGCGGCAGACCAACAAAGAGCATACTTCACATACCTAGTGGACAAAATGGACGCTTCCCGTTGTTGTCTGGTCAGGTTTTCGCTTCGCTTCCTCCTCTTTGCTCCTCTCCTAGGGCGTTTGTGTCAATCACGATGCCCAGTCTGTGTTCCGCTTGTGTCTCGCAGTATGACGGGAAGCGTCTTCGAGGTACGAGAAGCGAGGTGGAAGTTGTGGTTGAATCTGCATCACCTCTAATGGTGTCCGGTCAGGTTTGTTTCGTCAGTCAGGTCAGGCTTGTTCCGTTGGTGGAAGTTGCTCCTGATATTTCACTTTTGACCGCGTTCGTTTTCGGAAGATCGATGTTCCTGCGTGCCGTCCCTGCCACTACCGCGCGTGACATGTTGTCGTGCGTCACAGGTTGTACGCTGCCGCCCGATGTCGCAGAGGTGGTACGAGGGTGGGAGGAAAATGCCCGAGTTTTGGATGGGCACTTCATGTTTATTTTGCCTGGGTCCTCCACCTTGAAAAGTCATTCGAACTGGGTTTCTCCATGAAGCCTTCTGCCTTCGTCGCAAAACCCAGGATTCTCGACCTGCGTTCTTGTTCCTCAATCTCTGAACCATCCCACCCCCACCGGTAAAGGGTCAGTTACCTCTACCAGCGTGCCCGCTCTAGGTGGGTATGGGTGCTGCAAGCCCCTAGAGAGACAGCATCCATCCCCGCCGACGGGGGGTATGGCGGCCAGCGGGGGTATGGTTTCCCCTGGTGGGAGTGGGGTTGGTTCTTCTAGGTCACCCGCAGGAATGCGAAGATAATCTCGCTTTGCGCGTCGCGGTCTGGGTCAGAGCGGCTGCCCACCTCCAAGGGGGCGGCGCGAGTGCGCGAGGGCGCGAAGATAGTCGCGCGTCGCGCGTCGCGCATGGCGGGGTTCGATGCTCGAAGTTGGGTGATTTAGGTTTTTCTTGTTCATAACGTTTCGGCGGTAGTTGGACGGTGACGCCGTGTTTCAGAGTATGTTCGCGCGGCCCGGCCTGTGGTCGTGCGGTGTGCGGTGACGCCGCGGGAGTGCCGGCGTGGATGCCGGTTTGGAGGCGAGCAATTTGCGGCAGGTCTGCTAATTAGTATCACATTGCTGTTGTTTTTGTTTGTTTGTTAGGTTGTTTGTATTTCAGTCTGTTTCAGGGGCACCGTTAAGGGGGATGCGTCTACCCCCAAGCGCCGATTCATCTCCGATAGGTGCCCGATAGCCCACTCCACCTAGGAATGTGCGGCCGGGGGCCCATCCCCGATTAATCGGCGATGTATTGCGGATTCCAGGTCGGTGGTTTCCCCCCTGAGCCTGTCACTGTTTGTTTTTCGTTTTACGCTGAAGGCCCCCAACATGCACAACGTTTCTGTGCCTTCAGGGGCAGCCTTCCAAGAGGGCACTCCGCCTCTTCGAAGCCCTCCTGCCCAGCCTGAGAATGCCTGGCCTGGGGGGCGCCTCGCAATTCGACTGCATCCCTTGTGCTGCCCACTGTTCGCTTGGCGGCATTCGCTTTGGGCGTCCGTCCGCGGCTGGGCGCAAGTCATCTGTTGCACCGAGTGGGAGCAGTCGAAGCCCTCCCAGGAGCCCCTGAGACGGGGCCTATAACTTCACGGAGTGCCCAGCGTCCTCCTAGACGGCCGGCTTCCCTCGCCCTGCCCCCCGTGTGCGCGGCACCCTGCCGATGCCAGCGGCCGCGGGTCGAGGCAAGCACCGTGAAGCAGCTGGTTTCGTCTGGCAAGATGGACATGAGCGACAGCGACCGCGAGGAGCTGCTCGCCTTCCTATCAGGCTCGCCACCTCCGCCTCCGCCTCGCTCCTCGCTCCTTTGCACTCCGTCGTCCGCCTCGCTTGGCCTCCTCCTGCCCCGTGCTCGTCCTCATCTCCCCTCCTCCTCCCGCCTCCCTTTTCCACAACTGGTCAATCTGAATACTACTCTCTTCCCGACGACGTCCAGAGGGCATTGCGCCCTCTCCGCGTATAGTTTTGCACAGGGTTTCAAAGCTGATATGTTACAGCATTTTGTTTGCAATCGGAGCGTTTTCGGTGTTTCAAAATGGTGCTCCCGCTGCAGCGCGCGCGCGCGAGCCTCATTGTAGGATACTTGCGAGGCTCCTACTGTTTAGAATGGCGCTCTCGCCCCAGCGCGGGCCACTTTTGGATCCGATTCCCTCCTCTTCGTTGTCTCCCCTCTCCTTGCGCTTCCGCCTTTCCCTGGTCCTCGTACTCCTCCCGCTCCTCCACTCCTGCTCCTGGTCCTGCTGTTCCTCCAATCAACCGCCGATGGGGACGCAGGGTCGCACTGATGGATCATGCAATGCAGTGGGGGCCCTTGGCCCAGGGAGGGTGGCGCACCGGACCTCATGCGGATCCATCGCTTCAGCCACCTCCCTGAGCGTCAACTGGCCTCGCAGCATCAGGGTCCCACTGGGTCCCACTGATGTTGTCCAAGAAATGGGTCCAACGGCATCCAGAACGGAACCATGGCCTTTGAGAGTTCAGGAAAAATTAAGACTTTGTCAAGCTGTAATCGACACACTTCAATCGCCATCGCATTCGCCAGCATTCTGCACATCCCTGCTGGGTACTTCTTATCAGCTGCTGTCCTAGACTGTCCATTACTTTGAACTCGCCGCAAAACAGTATTATTCGACTGGTGATTACACCTGCTGCTAATAGGTAACGTACGAATGCGATCGGAGACAGGAACACAACTCATCAATTGAGAACAATTTGTTTAGGCTTACGGATTTGCGCACCACACATGCGCTGATCAAAGCTACATTTACGAACAGACCTGCACGACGCATGTCCCACCATGCCTTGGAGAGCCCGTATCTCTTATAGTGTGAGATCATGCAACGCAAACCCACTCTGAGCAGCAGAGGCATACGCGGCTTCGAGCATAGTCTGCAACAATCGCGATCCAAGGAGCACCTGTCTCCACTCCTTGGGCATGCACCATAGTAAACCCCAACGGCTGAGCTGCACTGCGAACGACGCTAGGAAAGCAACTATCACCAGGTGGAGCGATCCGTCTGGCTGCTCTCCATGTCTCACATGAGGGCCCTTCTATGACCCCGAGGGCCTCCCCAGACTAAAGCATCGCTAAGAAAGATTCGATTGAGGACCGACAGATCAAGTTGCCGTGAACACGGTCGTTGGCCACATCAATTGTTTTTTCTTACAGCAAGGGCGGCCTGTTCGACCAGCTCATCCTGCTTACTCCTCGTCGCGGCGTTCTCTTGACATCTGCTCCTAAGACCTTTGGAGGCAGCTGCTGACCCAGCAAGCGATGGACCCCCTCGGACTCCGCATTACCCAAATCTCGTGGCGACGGAGTACGCGGGGAGGGCATCCCTGGGTGGTGCCACAGACGCTGCCGCCTGCAGGGGCGGCTATGCTCAGGCAGCTGCTGAACAAGATGTGTCTCACCGGGGCGGCCGGCAGCCATCGAGTGGAGGTACGCCTTCGCCGGGATCTCGCCGTGGCCGACACGCAGGCGGCCCGATCGGGAAACCGCAACCGGGGGGGGCGCGGGATCGGCCGCCTCCCGGTACGAATTTAAGTCGGTCTTTGCAAGGAGGGACTGGAGGCGATTCGGGTGGATTGGCGCGACGGGCTATGACGTTCAACCGGCCACATCTGCCTCCAGTGGAGCACCATTGTGCTATTTATTTTACAGAATTCGAGTCAGTTGGTCTTGGGGCGGACCTTCCAGTTGCTCCACCTCCCGCTGGCGTTCCTCCGCGGTGCCCTGTCCAGGTGAGACCGCCGCCTCCGTCCAGGAGCGCTTCGCGTCCGAATTCACGTTTTCATCCCTCTACACCCAGTCGTTCTACTTCATCATGTCGCTCTTCTTCACGGCCTGCCCCATTGCCGACGTCGGGTCCGCACCGTTCTTCTTCATCATTGTCTTCGGCTCGGTCCACCCGGGCATTCTCTGGAGATTATCGCGGCGCCACATGGAACGCGCGTGGCTTGCTGGCTTACGAAGTGGAGGTGCAGAGAGATAAACGCCACGCTCTGCACAAGCTGCTATCTCGTCATGACTTTGTGGGCGTCCAGGAGACGCACTCTACCCGAGGTTCGGCGGGCGCTGCACAATTGCCAGCGGGGGTTGTGCCCTTCTGGTCGCACGGGTCACCGCATCAGGGGGGAATTGCTTTGATGGTGTCACAGGCGTTTCTCAAGCAGTTCGACACTGTCCACTCGCAGGACTGGGAGGAGGTGGAACCAGGCCGAGTCGCCGCTTTGCACCTCGCCGGTCGGGACGGCGCCGTGTCCATTGTCGTTGCTTATTTCCACACTGGTGATAATGCGTCTGCTCGGCGAGCCATGCGCGTACATATTCGGGATCTTGTTCGCTCTCGGCCGCAGGCGCTCTGGATCATCATGGGGGATTTCATTTACGTCGTCAGGGGCGCCGACCGTTTCAGCCTTGACGCAGGGGCGCGCACAGGCAACCGGGGCGCGTCTGAGGAGCAGCATTGGCGGGGCACCGTCTCAGACCCAACAGGGTTGCACGAACTAACTATTCCAGCCCGAATGCGCCTACAAATCATCTTCTGGCCGATCTCGGCTAGACCGTATCTATACCACGCGCCACGCAGCATATTTCATCCAATCTATTTTCTTCTCCATCGCGTTCCCTTGGCCGACAGGGGTGTCCGACCGTCGACCGGTTTCATTTTGGCGGCGGTCGGCGAGCTTGGCGGGCAGACCCCTTAGCTTAATGGAGCAATGCGTGCGCCACCCGGATTGGGCTATGAGGGTCTCTCGGGAATGCCATTGGCGTCTGGGGGGGGGGGGGGCGCATTGGGGGTGGGGAGGCGGTGGGCTCCATCCAGCGCCTGGCCATCCTCAAGACGGCCATGCATGCGGTGCAACACAGTTTGATGTCCACGGCATGCGGTGCGTAATATTTGGAACCCACTGTGCCCGAGAATTCGGCGACAGCTTTCCGCATTATCGCTGGCATCGAGTCCGGCAGCATGGCCGCGACAATGCAGTTGCGACGCGGGCTACCGCAGGCTTGGGCGGCTGTTATCTTCAACGGTACTTCTTCATCCCACATCGCAGGCTGTCTCCGACGGTTGAAGGCCACAGCGGTGGACCTCGTGAGGGCAGAGCTGTTGCAGGATATGCGTGGGTTGCAGAACGCCGAGCGGGAGACTGACGAACGCCTCAGGCGCGTTCAACGAAACGCTATCAACGGACGATTGATAAGACTGATGCGCCGTGCACAAGAGCAGAGCCTGCGCGCCGTGCTGGATGCTTCTGGGGGCGTCGCCACAGACCCCGCGGAGATTGCCGCTCTACTTCAAGGGCACTGGGCTTCCGTCTTCAGACACAAAGGGGTCGACGAACCGAAGCTCAATGCATGGTTGGCGCTGGCAGATCATGCCGGCCCAGAACGTCCGTGCATGTCGCGGCGGGGGTGGCGTGTCCGGAGAAGCGACATTCAGGAGGCGTTGCGAATGGCCGGGAATTCGCGCCCAGGGCCCGACGGAATACCATGCCAAGCTTGGGCGCAGATGGGGTCCCTGGCCACTCAGCTCCTCTGGGGGGCGGGGCGTTTCTTGGAATCGGGCCTCGCGCCAGGAGTGCCCGAACAGGACGTCTTCAACGCTTCGTTGTTGTGTTGTCCGCCGAAGAAGCCTGCGCGCGAGGGGCAGGGTGGCGCGCAGGTCTACGGGCCCAAGGGCGCGCGGCCTCTCAGCGTCACCAATGCCGACAACCAGATTATCGCGAACGCGTGCAGGCTGCGATGAGAGCCGTTGCTTGCCCCTTGTGTCACACCAGATCAACGGGGATTCCTTCCAGGCCGCTCCGTGCTCAAGAACATCATCGAGATCGAACGTGCAGCTATGACGGCCTCTCTTCTGAACGATGACGCCGCGATCATCCTGTTTGACTTCGCAGCGGCTTTCCCGAGCATATCCCGCAAGTATTTCATGGCGACTGCCGCGGCGGCCGGGCTGCCGGCCTCGGCCGTGCACGTTCTGCAATCTCTTTGCCGCGACGCGACCGGCCAGTTGATGTTGCGTGGGCGCTTATACGGTGACGTTCCTTTGGAATCGGGCATCAGGCAGGGCTGCCCGCTTTCCCCGTTGCTTTTTGCGCTCGCCCCCGACAGCTTGCTTCGGATTCTCGGGGTCTGGGTTCCTAGCGCCGCAACCGGAGCGTTCGCGGGCGACACTGCCATGGCGATGCAGTCTTGGAAGCGGGACCATGGGGCAATCTTCAGGACGTTCCGAGTATTCGAAAATGTGTCGTGTCTGGCGTTAAGCGTCTCCAAGACTGGTGATCCCACGCTGGGGTGAGAAATTGGAGAACATCCGTGAGCGTATGGAGGCAGACGCGAGAACGCCGCCAGTTTCATGGGGCACATCGGGGCGATATCTAGGGATACATGTGGGGCCAGGGAGAGTGTTGCAGTCTTGGTAATGAGCGGCAACCAAGTGCGAACCCAGGTTGGGCGAGTGGGGCTGGAGCTAACTAAGTTTGCGCACAGCGCTGGACGCGTATAACATGTACGTGTTGCCCGTGCTATTTTTTGTTGCTGAGTTGGACCACCCGCCGCCGCAAATCTTACATCTGGAGGCGGTGGCGGTTCGCCGTGTCGCACCGGGCCCAGGGAACTGGGGCAGCCCAGCAGACCTCCAGCACGGCTCAGAGCTTGGATTGCCCCGACAACTGCGACCCCTGCGTGAGCC